AATCATGATGAGTCCACCTATTATGCAAATGACCATAGAAAAATTCAATGGGTACACAAAAGCGAAACTGCTGTACCTTATGCCAAGGGAGAGGGTGCCTTGTTGATGGTTGTAGATATGGTCAGCCCTGATTATGGATGGCTGCATTCACCAGACAGAACAGAAAGTGTTTGTGTCCTGTTCAAAGCTGACAAGGCCCATGAAGGGTACTTCACATGTGAGGACATACTTAAACAGGCCTCCAATGCAATGGACATTCTCAAGAAACACTATGCAGATGAGGATTATGTCATGGTCTTTGACAATGCAATGACACATCTGAAGCATGCAGATGATGCACTGTCCACATGACACATGCCTAAATATTCACCAAAGCATGGAGACAAGTGGGATGGTACCAATTGGGGTGAGGGGTGGAAGCCAACAAACTAGGGTGTAGAGGTCAATGTGGTTGGCGAAGACGGAATACCTATGCATGGCCTAGATGGCATGGTGTTGAAAAAAAAGTTTCCAATGGGCAATGGCAAGTTCACAGATGGATCACCACAGTTGCTGTACTATCCAAAAGATCACAAACATGCTGGTGTATTCAAAGGAATGGGGGTGATACTGGAGGAGCGAGGCTATAAAGGGGCATTGAAGGTTCAGGCAGAATGCCCAGGATTTCAGTGTAAAAAGGGGGTTGTTCATTGTTGCTGTTGAAGAATGCTCTATAACAAGCCTGACTTCATGGGCATCAAGTCATTGCCAGAGATTGCTTGTGAAGCCCATGGCTTTCAAGCAATTTTCTCCCCTAAATTTCACTGTGAGCTTAATTTTATAGAGAAATGCTGGGAATATTCAAAACATATTTACTGCAAACTTCCCGCATTGTCAAAAGAAGCTGATCTTGAATGAAATGTTCTCCAGGCTTTGGATTCAGTCCCACTGGTAGCCATTCACAGGTGAGTCATAAATCTTGTATCTGAGTCATGCTGACACCATACCATGATAGGTTTTCCACTCATTCACTGAGATTTATGGATGCCTATAGAAAGGGTCTCAATGGCAAACAGGCAGCATGGGCATCAAAGAAGTACTGGAGACATAGAGTTTTGCCTGAAACACTAATGAGAGATCTGATGGGGGCAGGATTGGTTTGAACAAACCAATCAGCTGCATGAAAATTGCACTCAAATACAATTTGAAGACTTAATATAAATACATACACTGGAATATGATGCTATAGCTGCAGAGGAGCCTGTTGTCACAGACTCACAGCGCAATAAACAAAGTTAGAAGCACAGAGTTACAAAAGGTCACAGGAAGGTCACTTGTCATGTGATGTCAATGGGTTTGGATGAGGTCTATCTTAGGAAAAACTTTGTCTCACTGATTTCCTGATGCTTTTTTCACCTTAGCCTACTTTGGTCATTCTGTGTCTATCTAAAATAATAGTATTTTTGACTGCCTTATATGCCTGATTTTAAGTAAACAACTCCTTATTTCCTCAGTTTAAGGAAATGGATCTCCTTTTTCTCCTTATTTTAAGTGTGAAAAACGGCCTTGAATTTACCTGATTGTGCGAATTAAGGCAAATAAGGAACTCAATGATTTGCTGATGGCCAATTGGATAGCGCATCCTTCAAGTTTGTATTGCAGTTGTTTTTTGTATCATTATTGGTTCACCAGTGTAGGCATCAGTAAAATACCATGTTACTTAAGCTGCCTTAAACAGACTTAACTCGCACTTAAGTGACTTTGCAGAAGTTGACACACTTTGCCAAAATTTCAACTTCAACATGTTCAGAAAAAAGTTGTTGGGTTATGTTAACATACATATTTTATTATAGTTTACACTAAAAAAATCAAGATATGCCAAGTGAATGTTGCAGGAGAGAGCAAACAGTTTTCAGCCAAGTCAGCCAAGTTGATTAAGTAACGTGGTATTTTACTGATGAGCCTAAGTGTAATCAAGTGTGTTTCTGTCGGAAATGGATGGGATGTACTGTATCTGACGTTACACATAGTACAACTAGTCCAGCATCCATGGTGCTGCTCACAAGCCTACCAATTCGGATTCAGGAAAGTTGAGGTGACAATTCCCACTTAGTGCTATCACATGTAAGTACAAGCCTTGGTCACCATCCTGACACTATGCCTCTACAGGCAGCCAATGATGTTATATAGATGTATCCTAAGTGGACTATAGTCCTAAAAGTCCGATACATACTCTTCTGTAGTCATCCACTATCCAACGGGATGTATCCAGGATATATCCACATGAGAATCGTGCTGCCGGCTTCCTTTGCTTATAAATCATGCATTCTGGGATTACAAATCATACTGGCAGTGATTGTATACCTCAAATGGACGATTCTCCCGAATGTCCGGTTCCTCCTGATGGGCTTCCATTGACTTCTTTGATGATCTCGATCTGAGGTATGTCAGTCAAGCTTGAATGTACCTGACCAGAACTTTCTAGATTAGAGCATTCCAGGATGGGGCTCTCAGGCTGGGTGACCTTTCATATACACGTTCAGAGGCTACACTGAAAAATTTCAAGTGAAAATGAAAATTCTAATACAATCAAATTCACGAGCATTCAAGCTTCAAGTCAGCGTCTCAGATCAGGCAGTTTGTGTCCTGACACACCAGTAACTCGTGAGTCCCACATTTCACTTATATCTAAAGCTCGAGGCTGACAGAATGCATGTATGACTCTTCGATGGTTTTGTTGATATATGTTCTGTGTTCCGAGTCTGGGCTTCACACAACGCCTGTGCTGGGCTCCTAGCCACGTTGACCCACCACCGGCACCCTCTGCAGTTCTCTAGTGGTGATGGCAGGAGCTCAGTTAGCACTGTATACGATACATTTTACTATAGAACATGATGTTTAATATTAATAGAATTTTTCCCCAGTCCCACCGCTTTTATTTCACATCATGTGCAGCACTTTGTATATACTCGATCAAAATTCTCAAATTCTTCATTAAGCGGTACGTATCTAATGAAAATGAAAGCAAAAAAACATATAGACGCAAGAAAGATAGTATATATGTCTGTCTGTTTTGCTTCCTCGAGCTCTTCAAGTTCAATAGTTTTGTAAGGAAGTTTGGAATTTTGTTGAGAAAGCTCAAGGATCATGTACGCCATTTTTGGTTTATGCATCATTGGACTTTTATAGGTTTTTTACTAGTACATGCTGATCACAAAGTCTCTTGTTTCACAAGCTTGAATTTACACTCCCACCTCCTGCTCTCCATTCATGCATCGTTCAGGCTGCTTACACCTTGCTATCACCACCTCCTGCTCTCAGTTCGTGAGTAATTTTGTCGTTTGAGCTGCTTACACCTGTGTCTGACCACATCACCCCCAAGTTCTGTACACTACCATTATCCTGATGAGTCGCTCATCAGAGCTGGTTTCTCTTGCGCATCCATCGTCCCTTCTCGCTTCTTCCTTCTTCCTGCTCCCTTGTTCTCCTCCTCATCTTCGACTTTCCTCCTCCTGCTCTCATCCATTGGAATCAACAACCCTCCTTGATCACAGCGGCCCGCTCGTCAGTGCCGGTTTCTCTTGCACCCGCATTGCACCCTCTCATACCTCCATTGATCCTCTTGCTGGGCTGGATGGTGTAGTGGGCATTGCATTGTTGTTGCTGGAGGTGGTGGGTGTTATTGTCTCTCAGTTGGTGTTGCAGGGGTGTGCTGGGACAAGTACCAGAGTGAGTGAGTACTCACTATCATTGTGCGTCCACCATCCCTTCTAGCTTCTTCCTTCTTCCTGCTTGTCTCTCTCCCTTGTTCTCCTCCTCGTCTGCTTCCCTCGAGGCTCCTCCTGCTGTTGTCCATCGTCCACACTTGTCTGAGCCACGTCAGCAGTTGCTGATGTGCACTGGGCATTTGTGCATGGTGTCCGTGGTGTATGGAACGGCATGGTGGACGTGGTGGGCATTGTCAATGCAACACCTCGAGATTGTGGTTGAACCCGGTTCAAACACGAACCAGACCTCCCGAACACGTTCAGCAGCGTTCAGTCCAGAGTTTGGCCAACAGCTGAACCTGAACCTAGGCTAGCATTCGGTTTAGTGTCTAGAAAATAATGACAGAAAACCGGACTGAACCAAGCCCGATGTTAAGGTCGTGCTCAAGGGAGAGGTTACTCAAAGGGCTTCGGCTTCAGCTCGTGCGCTGCACCCCTTACCCGAGTACGTGCCCTTTAATTTCCGGGGGACAGAGGGGAAGCCCGACGGAAGTCCGGGAAGTTCCGGAGGACTTAGTGTCGGTGGAGTTCAGCGGAACTCCGGGAGGTTTATACTGGGACAGAGTAAGGCTACTACGGAAGTCTGGAGTAGAAACTGAACAGAGGTTAGACTACCCTAAGGTAGAGCCAGAGAAGTAGTCCTAAGGTTTAACCCCTAAGACTCGGAGGTGGACAAGAGATGAGACTCAAGTCCGGAGATTGCAGGAATGAGCAGAACTAAGATGATATTCGAACTGAGGAGTTCCGGAGTATTACAGGGGTTTATATACTGTAGGTAACATGTAAGTAAATCAGTCAGCAAAGGTAAGGGCTATGTACGAAGCATGTGGAAAGTCTATTACTAAGTGTAGCGGATCAAAGCAGTGAAGTCGGAAATGAAGTAGGAATGGACAGATCAATAAGCATAGTGGAAAGAACATAACTGGTAACCGGAGCAATAGCTAATCTAAAAGAAGTTAGGGGTGAGTGCAGAGATGAAGGTGGAGCGCTGGGTGGAATAGTAAGATGGAGGACTGGACTTTAATGGAGTAGATCTGGAATTCCGGATCTGGAGGTATGGGATATGACACCCGAGCGCGCTGTAGGGGTCTCTTTGGATGCGCCTCCTTGTGATTATATCAAGGGACCAACCTGATGAATGATAGCATTTCTGGACTGCGATTGTGAAGGTTAAATTGATGTGATTCTTGATCTCAGAACTACATAGTGATATGGTACCTGGGGAGATTGCAAGATCGCAAACACTAAAATAATATGACCGCTGGGGATGGACATCAATGGACGGCCACCTTCCCGGAGCCATGTATGCCATTCTCAGAAGTTCGGTAGGCTGGCTGATCGATAACCATACAGAACGGATGTATTCCAGAGTGGATAACTAGACTTAAAGATGTATCGGACTTTTAGGATTATTAGCCATATGGATACGTCTTTCTGCCTGTATCCTGTGCTACAGGCATGCCCTTTGCTGTGAATTCGAACATCCACGTATTTTATCTGAGCAGCATGGATCATCAGCAGCCCATAGAGGAAAATGCTGGCTCGTGGATCCTGCAAGTGGTGGAACTGTTATTGCATCTGTCAAATCCCCAATTGTTCCTTTGGTGAGGATAACTAACGCCTTAATGGTCTTGTTCCTCCATCATGGGCCATGGGTGTGCACGGACCTTCTAATGATGCTCGGTTCACAACTTCAGTAGGTATGTGCAGTCCGTATTCAACCCCTGGTAAAATACACACCACTGACTTTATCCCTGCATGCCATTGACCGCAAAACAGGACATTATTGCACTATTGATGACCTTTTCCAGCACCAGCAAGGTATGTCTGGCTGATTACCTTGGCTCATGGTATGTCAAATGGAGATGGATCTTCCTGTTGAAGTGTACTACCATCCTGTCATTGATTATGGTTGGAGATACGTCGTGCAAAGGTCGCAAGGATTTCGATATGAATCATAACTTATGCTGATTTAAATTGCAGGTATTTCGGGGATGGGCGCAAAGAAACTAGGCTCATACCATGGTTTCCAAAGGTCAAGGCCAAGACTGGCATCTGCAGTGGTGAAGGACCACGCGATGATGTATGTTAGTGCACCATGAGCCACCATCTAATGGGCTCGAGCCTGCTAACTCATACTCTGCAGATCTAGTGATGTTCCAGCCTGGCATCAAGCCCTGGGCCAGCCCAAGACAGGCCTAAACAAGCCAAGTTGGGAGACATGTGAGCTTGACACGGCTGTGACGAGGCACTGACACAGCATGGGTACTAACGTTGATGTGGCACGGGGGCCTAATGTAGCTAATGTGGGGCTTGACATGGTAAATTCATAGCCTATAGGGCCTGCATCAACAAAAGAGCCTGAACCGTATATGTGAATATATGTTGCAATGTAAGACCTTGTGTACAACTTGTGTATATCTGAAAAGCTAAATCACACGCATTCTCATGTTAACTTCACAAGGCCTTCCATACTTTGGGCTCTTTTGTTGATGTGATGCAGTATGGGTGAAGCTCAACATCAAATCTTAGTGGCGCAGAGATACCCATTCCCCACTCATGATTTTCCACGTAGTAATAAGTGCCGCGTCACAGGCGCGTCACGACCACCACCTCAGGGACCCTTACGAGCATAAAAGCCAGCTGTCTTCCCCTCAGAATTAAGTATTCGAGAACCTGTCTGACAGATCTCATATCCATACAATTGATGCATTTCATCTTCCTCGCTACAGTAGCTGGGTTGACAGCATCCATGCCTGTCAGTGCAACACCAGCTGTTGTCGGCAGGGACTCGCAATGCATTGGGTTTCGCAAACCTTGTGACATCAGCATCAATGACAATGGTTGCTGTGCTGGTCATTATTGTTACGTGGTATGGATAGTTTATTTCGCATCTTCCTTCAAGTTCAAGCATTCGAGTTGACTCACCCTTTCTGCCTTGTGATAGTATCCCATTGATCATCCATACGGCATTTGCTTAGCATTACCAACAACTACCAATTGAGAAAGGCCTTCAAGATCCCAAAGAACTCGCATGTCACGAGAGTAAGTCATGTCCCTGCCTTCGCATTTGGTAACGTCGTTCATGGAATAATTCTTAAGATTGCCCTTGGACAAATTTCACTACCGCTGGAGTAATGGGGAATAGAACATCTTTCAAAAGACTCAATATGATGTTGACAGGAAAATATGACATACTTATAAGATTGACCGAAGTACTGCAGCTCCAGTGGTCCAAGTCACTTGAAGCTAAAAAATCAAAAACAGCCTCCCAGGTCGGACATAATCTATGTTCACAGTAGTGTTTTCCTGTTGTTTTCGTAGTTGTTTTCCCTCTTTTTTTCAAATTTCTGGGGAAACCAAGTTTTTTTCTAGTCTTGTCAGATTGGACGGTCCGAGGGAGCCAGTAGTACTTTAGGCAATTTAGTCAGGATCTATGATCCAATTGATATCGTGAATGGGCCAACATTGTTACAGTCACCAACTCCTCATGCTGGGGCATTCGTGAGGTGTAGCTTATTGTCTGACATAGGATATATTACCCCAATGGACAGCGATTGGAATAATAATAAAAACAGCCACTAACTATGACGTGAGTGTCGGCGCCATGACGTCGGTCTGAACTTTGGAATTGAGAGCAGGTCGAGTTGAATGTGATCTCGGTCCAAAGTTTGTCGAAGACTGTTGTCCCCCCTCACTTTAATGATCGCACACTTCTTGGTGTAGACTATGATTTTGTCATGCACACCCGCAGAACTCTTCTGCTTGATCACTGACAGGTCACCAGATTGCGCAAAGTCTGATGCGGTGTTCATGAATTTTCAGATGGTCACATCACTCACATGGATATCCTAGTGCATTGACAAGGCATCTATAGACAGAAAACATAAACATAGTGCATCACATATCCTGACTCACATATCCATCACAAACTTCAAGTATAACACTGCATATGCAGAGACCAGCGTGCATCAAACAAACTCGATGAAATGCTTCACACATGTCTACCCATCATCTCTGCGAACCAACTGTTGACAAACTGCCACAATAAAATCATCATTAAGGACGGCTAGACATATTGATTTAACAACTGCGAGGGACAGTAGAAAGGCTTAGGCACTCATGCATCACAGCAATTAGACCAGCATCTCCTATGTGCCATACAGGAGAATAATGAAATTGCTGTGGGGAAGATAGGGGCACCCAGAAAGGAGTCGATGATCAGGCCCTACCATCCATCCATCATGTCCCGGCAAGAAATGGGTTGAATTGGAAGTATGATGAGAGGTGCCTTCAACTAGTTCAGCAGGGTTGTGCAGTGCGTGGTTCAAGCTGGATGAGAAGCAAATCAAGTCACTGTTCCAAGGATCAATTGATGTGATAGGGCTCTGCTGTGTGCGAGGCAAGGTAAAACTTGTATCCAGAGGGAATAAGGAGGTCTCAGGGCATTCCTGGAATGGCCACCCAGCCATGACATGCCACAGCCAGATAATGTGATCCTCCGACCCAGACACGATGTGAGTGCCATGCAGCGAGAACAAGACCAACTAAATCGCATCCATGTGCCCCCACAAGGGCTCACCCAATGCCTGCCCCATCTCTGCATACCACAGCCGAACAGTGTCATCCCAAGAACCAGACGCAATGTGAGTACCATCCGGCAAGAACAAGACTGATGGTTTATCAGTAAGAATGAATATAGGTCAATAGGATACATCAGTAAAATCACAAAGTCCTTTTTTGGCTTGGAGCCGCTTAATTAGCCTTGGACTTTAAGTGAAATTTGCAATGAAGAGAAAAGACGTGACAAGGTGCAAAAGTCAATGTTTTATCAAGACACGACAAGTGTCCCAAGACAGTAAAGAGGCTTAAGGAGAAAAATCAGATTCAAGTCATTGCAAGTGCTACCAACATGTGCTTTACAGTGAGACTCGAAGACAGTGATCATGATGCAATTTCAAATGCATGATGGTCGACATACTTGTTAACGTAGTAAGCCCAAAAACAATCATAAGACACATGCAAATTAATATTGAGGGGAATGAAATGACAGCCGTAGATAGGGATGAGGTGAGCAGCGTGGTAGATTGTATCCACATGTATGACACTGTGTAGAGGTGCATGGTTGGCGCTGTGGGCCGGTCGAACCATCCACATTCCAGTCTCTACATCAGGTGAGTTTCCAATAACATCGAACCAGTGGATAACAGCGCATGGATAAACTTGACCACCATATTTAAATGAAAAGAACGCGCAAATCCTGGCAACTTCAAGCCCTCGGATGCCCTCTGTGATTGATCCTGTGTTAATGAAAATACAGTCATTGTGCGGAAACTCATTCCGCCACAAAGGACATGCACAAATATGCTCCACTTTCATGCCACCAACACCACAAAGGTCACTTGGTGCATAGAATCTCAAACATGCAGAGTTGAATACCAAGATTTTTCCTTTGTATCTGGGGCAGCCGGCAATAGGAATTTCTGATGGGTCTCGGTTGTCGTTTGGGTGTGTTTGCTCAAAAAGAAAGCGGCAGATCAAGTCAGGAAGAGATGGAAGGTACAGTTCTGCAGCAAGAGCCAAAACATTGCGGGCACATTTTGTCTCTGCAAGCAAAGTCATGTATTAGATCTCATAGCCTCAAAAAATAGTCACACATAGTACTCACAGACTGTTCGTGCTAGCCGAGTGTGCGCTTGTAAAACAGTCGGGCCATGATCTACTAGTAGTATGTCATTATCATTGCCATTGACATCAGCATTGTTTGATGGGGGGGCACTGGTATCTTCGGGGTCAGGGATGGCACTGTCCGTCATGCCTATTTAGCAGCATTGAATGAATGACCATTGAAAGACAATTATAAATTACTCACCGAGTGCCTCGAGTTCCACTAAAAAACAGGTACCAATCAACATCCCACAACTGGTGAAGTCAGCACGTGCAGCAGCTAGTTTATCAAGATGCTGGTTTGTGACCAGCATCTGACCAAGCACTTTGTACTTGCTTGATCACCTCCATGGTTCTTTTATAGCCTTGATATGCTTGCTCTCTGTGATAGACAAGCAGAGTCCATTGGGGGCACCAAAGAGCCGAATAAGTTGGATATAGTGCATAAGGGAGTGTTGCCGCGGCAGTGAGAAAGTAAAAATAACTTCAGTAGTTTCAAAAATCTTGCGGTACCGATGGAAACGGGACAGCGCATCTCGAACCTCATCCAGGGTGCTCTCGGTGATGGTGTTTCGACAGATGAGGTAGCAAAATTCGAGAAATGCACAGAATGTCTTAATGACATCCGTCGGTACATGTCCCTCGATTGTGGGTAAGTACACCTAATTAAAACAATTCATCAGTGAAATTAACTTGAAAGGGGAGGTAATTACCTTCATGAGGGCTTTGGAGTCATCGCCTGTCCATTGCTTGAAGCCCCGCCCTTGCGGAAATCAGTGCAGACCCGAAAATGAGGTGACAGCTGCTATTCTGAGCCGGAAATTAGTTAATAATGAGGCCCATTAGTGTTAAATTCATACCTGTGATCAATATCATCTAAGATGCAGTCTGCCTCACTGCATCCGTGAGTAAGCACAAGATATTTCTCCACCCATTCCACAAGGTGGTCCTTGAATATGCCTTTGATGATTTGATGTAAGATGTCAGGAGCAATCAGTTGGTGAATGTTGGCACATGGAAAATCATTTGTGAAAGGCTAAGAATACTAAGTGTTAAGATTCACTGAGACTTGGAGTGACATGGAAAGACTTACGACCAAGTCACCAACTATTCCAAATTCCATCCACAGTTCGCCAAGTGTACCCACTTCAAACAGGGCCTCAGTGTAGTCATGAGATCGGTCAAGTGCGGGAGTATCAAGGTTTGGATGAGGTGCACAGCATCTAAAAGAAAATGCTTACTAGTAGCGCTAATGAAATGAGACAAAATGATATTTACCTTGCACACCAGCAGCTAACTATACATGTAAGGAGCACTTGTTCTTCATAATCAGCGATGTACGGCCCCAAGCCATAGATTACACACCGAAAATGACCATCTCCGAACTTCACGACTTCTGGCTTCGTCATCCCAGGCCTAAGTGTTTCGAGTATCTTGGATAGTGAGGAGTGAAATAATTGGTGACGGAATTTGCGAAATTGTGGATCAGCAGCATGTTCCTTTGTAGCTTAGCAGTTGAAAATTGACATCAGCATGTTTCAAGAGCACGAAAATATTGGACTTACTTTTCGGCATTGCAAGGAATCCAATGATTGTAACTGCATCCCGACGTGCACGGCAAACATTGTTATGAACATTTTCAATAGAAAGATAGAGTGGATAATATGCATTATTACAGGTCACAACAGAAACTGTTGTTTTGTTGCTTCTGAGGATGACAGGTACAAATGCTGAGCCAATTGTCTCTGGGTCTCCAGCAATGATGTCCTGTAATGGGCAAAGTCAGATCTATCTTGTATGAAGGGACAGTCTAGAGTGTTAAAAATGGAGGGCGAGTTTTGATAATCTAGCGCAATAGTAGAAATAGCCTGATGGAATGAACAGCAAGTTCTGATAGTCTATAGCATGATAGAAATTGATGGATTGAATGAAGGGAAAGTTCTGATAGTCTAGTACAATGAAAATAGATGGAATGAAGGGCGACTCGGCGAGTTCTGATAATCTAGCGCAATAGTAGAAATAGCCTGATGGAATGAACAGCGAGTTCTGATAGTCTATAGTGTGATAGAAATTGATGGATTGAATGAAGGGAAAGTTCTGATAGTCTAGTACAATGAAAATAGATGGAATGAAGGGCGACTCGGCGAGTTCTGATAGTCTAGCAATAGAAATGAAATATTACACACTGCCTGATCCCAAGCCCAATCACCTGACATGAAATCTTGCCATTGCCGTTCATCTCCATTGGTCGAGTACTCCCAATAAGGCTGATAGTCCATTTCGTCGGAGTATGCAGGGTTCGCCAACATGTTGTGAATAACCTCCCGAGGATCCCAATACCAAACATCGTAACTTCCATCCAGGGTGGGTAATCGCTGTCAGGTTTCTCACCTGTGTATGTGCATGAAAAGCCCTCCCACTTCACATCACCCAGTGGAATGGAGTCAATTGTTTCATGGAGGTCTTTGTGGTCTGCAAATGGTGGTATGTCACCGTGTTTGAGGAGTGTCGTGGCCCAAAGGTTGAAAAGATGGTCGGCCTGCCCTGCTGACATCTGATTCCTAATATAGAGTAATTCAGCAGTTTCAAATTCAACACGATTTCTGAATGGCATCCAATTGTCGTGTGACTTGGCCTCAGGAGGTGGGGGGGGGCAGTATCTTCAGGGAGAAAATTTCCATGCTCGTCACATGGGCGACCTTGTACCACTGACAGGTCAGACTTTGAACAGGAAGTTAAACAAAAAAATGAACCATCTAATGAAGGATGGTAATTGCAGTAGAGTGAGTTTCCAGGTCCAAAAAACTCTGCATGTACATTGGGAGGAGGAGAAGAAGCAGAAGTTCTTAACTCCTCATCAGTGGGCCAGGTGCTATGATCTGGCTCAGCTTCACCCTGAAAGGTATCAGCATCCACTGCGCTTGTAGGATCATTTATTTGTGGGTCTGGAGATGGTAGAGATATGATGGGGTGGGCAGAGAGAACATGTTTGGTATGTCTGGCAGTGGTTTTGAAAAAACAGTTGCACCCAGCACGTCCACAAGGAACTTGGAAGGCACCAAAGATTCGTTGAGGAGCCTGAGTATGAGGAACATTTTTTGGCATGCTAAGGAAAATAGACAGCAGAAGAATCAAGAGAAGTAGCACTGAGGACTTGACTGATGCCCTGTGCATAGTGAATGGCACGCTGCCAACATGCACACAAGGTTAGACCGATTAAGGATTCAAAGTGTTTGTTTGGCAGGACACGTACAAATTCATTTCCAGCAATTTGATAAACTTTCCTCTCTACCAACCATTTTTCTACACTTGGATTTGTTAGTCCCGTCTTAATGTCTCAGCCAATCTGCCAAACCTATGCCAAAAATGCAACTACTCACCCTGGTCAGATTGTCCTTGATGCCCAGCTGAAGCGCCGGACCCGGGCAGAGAAGACAGCTGACGACCAGCATCTCCAAGCAGCTCAGGATGCCAAAGAAGCACTAGCTGTAGCAGGACTTAATCGGCTTGCAGCATTGCAGAATGAGATGGAAGAAGCCCAGGTCCAGTCGATGATGAAGAAGCCAAAGGCTGTCAGGCCTAGGCCACGTGCATACCTAAGAAGACACAAGTAAGCAAAGAAGATGAATCGGCTCCAGAGAAGGCTGGCAATAGCAGCAAAGCAGCAGTTCTCAGGTCGACAGAGGACAGTGATTTATTTGATGAAGGCCTACCAATCAATGAGGACCTGGAAGATGATGAGACAAAGAAGAAGAAAAAAGGACGGAAGAACGCACCACAATCACTCAAGGCTGCCATCAACAATGCTTCCAACAACTTGTTAGGGGCTGTCATTGCCGGTCACAATCAGCCATGTGCACAAAACCTGAACAAGAAAGGCAACTCCTTACCACTGTGAGTTCTTTTTAAAATCGACATGTTCATGCTCACTGAGTCTACACTATTCTTCCTCAATTTAACTTGGAAATCAAGGGCAAAGTCGACTTTGGGTGGCTGTATTCAGAATTGGAGGTCAACTGTCCCTGGATCACAAAAGTCCGAGTTGGCCAGTCCAGGTGGTTCCCAGCTCGCTTCGCTGACTACCACCAGTCAACCTCCACCTTCCACCATCTTTTCAAAGTCTCAGATATCTCACACATCGAATGCTACTTCTTTAAGCTCAAATGCATGTGAGATTTCAAAACTACTGGTGCCTATCATTACAAGTATGTCCAATGTCTCTGAAGACACAGATGATCTGGTTGGAGGGTTAGGAGAGGACCTTGATGATTGGCAGGAACATGATGTGGCAGTATCTGCTAAGGGCAAGGTATCCGCACTTAGAAAGGTGGCCATCAGTTTATCCTAGTCTCCTTATACTGACTTCATCCAAGTCTACGGTTGAAATGAGGCCGGTCGCAGATCCTGAACTTGTTCCCCCACCTCTGGCTCAAAGGCTCAGTGGTCGAGTCACCTCTGGAATGAAGAGAAAGCTCGATCTGCTCCACTTCTCTTCAGATGACAATTTATTAACTCCCGAAGAAGACAAGATAGAGGAGCTGGAGATAGAGGACTTGGAGCTGGAGATCGAGGGGCTAGAGACAGATGAGCAAACAATGGAGGTTGATGAAATAGAGACTCAGACGGAGGTTGTGAGGAAGCCAGTTGCAGGCAAGATACAGCAGGCTACTATGACAGTGAAAGCTCCATGTACCACAGCTTCGGTACTAGTCTCCCTGTTTATATTCTTCACTACTCAGGCTAACTTTGGTGTAGACATCCGTTGGTACCACATCTCAGGTCAAGGCGCCACCACCCTCGAAGAAAGCAAGGATCGAGAACACACCTGTAAAGTCTGAGCTTATGGCGCCTGCCAGGTCAAAGGAAAATGGCAGTTGGGTGGAACCACAGCCGAAGTCATGTTCATCATACTTAACACTGACCTCCCTCCAGGTTGCGACCAAGATAATAAATGGGCCAGGGAATTTTTACCAACAGTGATTCTTTGGCTTGGTACTCAAGACAAGCTTTGGGCAGTCTCAGATCCAAACCTTCTCCACGCATGTCAGGAAATCTTCAAGGTTGTCTATCCAAACATTTGGTACCAGGTTGTGATGTCTGGTTCAGTTTTCAGTGTTGTAAGTTCGTCTTCTATTTCATTGATGTTATTTTAATCATTTGCTTATTTTTAGGTCACCCAGCACATCAGTGAATGGTGCAGCAACTTTGGATCAACTGCGCTCGCTATGGTGATGGATTTTTAATTGCAAACAAAGATACTCTGGCAACGGAGCTTGCAACACTCCTCCTTGAGCACTATGCGTTTCTGTACCCTGATCCTGACAACATCAACAAGGATGCAACCTTCCATTCGGCCTTTGTTCAAGAGCTTCTCGCCACTGCCCATCTGTCTCGTATTATTGGGCATGCTAATGTTCCCGCTCTTGACACCAACACTCTAGCTAAAAGTGGCATTACTGGAGCCCTTGGGTTGTGTGCTGTCTTGGTGCATTAATGTATTGTACGTAAGTTATACAATGCACTGATTTTTAATAGCTCGAACGCACATTAACTCTGGTCGTTGATAAAGCCATCATCATCGACCAATTGGATGATCTTGAGCCTGTACCTGGCACAGCACAGAAGGCCCGTCCAAAGATGCCAAAGACAGTGAACCCAGCAACAGGTAAGGCATCCTCAACTGAGCATGCATTCTCTGTCGGGAAGTGGGGCTTGAAAACTGCCACATATATTCAAGGGGCACAAAAGAAAAGTGTGGAGGCAATGCAACTGACAATGTCAATGGCATACAAACACTTGAAGAAACCTGGCTTCAACAAGTACAGCAGCTCCGACTCATCCGATGAGATGGACGATTGTGCAGACATCTGGTAAGTTGCTCTACTGATGCCGGTGTCATCCTGCTAATTGTTTCTTTCAGATCTAAGCACCTTGCAATGCATTTTTCCCCCCTCATAATATCCCTTTTGCATGCATTTCCAGCCCTTTTTTACTCTCTTTAGATCCCGTTTAATCGCCTTTTCACTGATTTACATGGACTTTTTTCTGCTTGAGTACTTCTTGGCATGCCTTACAGCAACTTTTACGACGACATTTGGGACAATTTGAATCAGACATGTGTTGCCTTTTCGCCAGTTTTTCCGTCTTGTATAGTGTTCAACAAGATGAGTCAAGGCGAACTTAAGCACATTTAAGAAGACGCGTGGCCTTGTGGCGTCTTGAGGGACTCCGGCTCTTTTTTCGACTGATGGTACTGTACAAGATCAAAAAAGGCCGCTCAAGTGATGTGGGATTTTCCTGATGTAAGCTGGTGGAGTCTAGACCGTAGTCTGATATAAGTACAAGGGTGATAAGATTGCCGAAAGGATGAGGATAAGATCATTTACGAACGAAAGGACTTTGATCGGTGATGTTGGATAATCCAGATACCGACCCGCGGTCTTCCACGTCATATTTCCTCTAAGTAATCAATGCTGCGTCACCGTGACAGGCGCCTCACGACCGCCACCTCGGGGAAATGGTTAACGAGCATAAAAGCCAGCTGTCTTCCTCTCAGATCCTCTCGGAGTTATTCGAACCTGTCCAACAGTTCTCATATCCGTACAACTAATGCGTTTCATCTTCCTCGCTATCGTAGCTGCGTTGACAGCATCCATGCCTATCAGTGCCATACCAGCTGTTTTCAGCGGGGACTCGCAATGCATTAAGTCGGGCAAACCTTGTGACTTTGACGTCGGCTTCAACGATTGCTGCGATGGTTATTATTGTTATGTGGTATGGATAGTTTATTTCGCATCCCCTTCAAGTTGACTCACCCTTTGCGCCTCGTACAATTGCCATAGCCGTCCACCGGTATTTTACGGGGTGTTTGCCAATCATTGTAAACCACCAAATAAGGACCTTCAAAATATACCAAGAAGCTCGCACGTCACGAGAGTAAGTCATGCCCCTGCCTTCGCATTTATGTCGTTCATGGAGCAATTCCTAAACAGTTAAGTTTGCCCTTGGACAAATGTAACTGCCGCTGGAGTGATGGGAATTCTTGAATAGAACATCTTCCGAAAGACTCGGTACGATATTGACAGGAAAACATGACATAAGTGAGCGAAGTACTGCAGCCCCAGTGATCCGAGTTGCTTGAAGCTTAAAAACCAAAAAACCTCCCAAGTCGGACATAATTGTTCACAGTACCATTATTGTTTTCGTCATTGTTTTCGCTTCTGTTTTGAAATTTCTGGGGAAACCAATTTTTTTTCTAGTTTTGTCAAATTATTATTAGACCGTGAAGTTGTCCGACTAATGATTGTAATACTGTCAAATGCAAGATACTGACCGAGAGAGCCAGTAGTACTTTCGGCAATTTGGTCAGGATCGCACATATGCAAATGAATGCAAACGTACGAGAATGTCGCCGAAACTGTTGGAATGCGAACGAGAGTGAACATTAATGTCGAGGAACACAATAGACGTGAAAATTGACTTACCCAGCGTGACGATCAAACAACACATGAAAAAACTTGTAAGTAGTGTACCTATATACATAGATTATGACCGGGAACAAGTAGTGTCGTGACAAGCGCACGCATGCACAAATGTGTGCAGACAGTTTCAGACCAGTGCAAACCATGGTAGAGAAGCAGAAATATGCGGCGGCCCACAGCACACACAAACAAGCAGGGAGATACGACAATTAGTGGCGGCAGGCGCAGACGAGCAGGGACAACAAGCACAGACAAGTACGAACGAGTGGAAACGCACACAGAGAAGCACAGATGAGTGAAAAACATCCATTAGTAGTAATCGCCTGGTCCTTCGCAAGCGCATGAATGAACACATTAGATACCGGGAGAAACGAGACCGACAAAAATAAATTAGTAAATCAAAGGTCATGATATTGTAAGTGCTTAGCAAGAAAACTCTTGATGTGACTCAGTGTTTGTTTGGATCCAAAGCCTTTGCCAAACAACCGTCGCTGCCAGCGACGTTTACAAGGCTCGTTGCTCAGACTCGCTGGTATCTCACTCTTGCTTTCACCGGGAATGTAATACTGATCATGGTGATGATAATCGGTTCAGGGTTCGGAACGGTTTCGCTGCCTCTGCAAACCCTACAAAGCCACGGCTCAGGCCGCCGGCTTTGGCTTTCCAGAATTCCAAGCCGGGCCAAAGCCATGGTCAGGCCGTCACTTTGGCCCAGCTTGGCCCGGCTCCTCGAATATCCGTCGCCAGCGGTAGCAGCTCCTCCCACTAATACCAAGTACTTCACTTATATCCTCCAACTCCCATCCATTGTCCCAGAGTCGAATGGCACATTCTTTGATATCGTTGCTGATTCTTCGGTTGACCATAGTGTATAGGTGATAGAGAAAGTCAAATTCAAAGCTGTCTCAGCGCCTATGAGCGTCCAGGACGCGTTGTTACATCGATTTCCGTTTTGGTCAAGGAAGTGGCGAAATTTTTGCGATTGACATTAGTTTTGCAAACAGCTGTAACATCAAATCTTGGCGGCGTAGAGATGCCCATTCTCGACTCGCGATTTTCCACGTAGTAATAAATGCCGTGCCACAGCCGCGTCACGACCGCCACCTCAGGGACCCTTCCCAGAACTGTTAACGAGCATAAAAGCCAGCTGTCTTCCCCTCAGAGTTAAGTATTCGAGAACCCGTCGGACAGATCTCATATCCGTACAACTGATGCATTTCATCTTCCTCGCTATCGTAGCTGCGTTGACAGCATCCATGTCTGTCAGTGCAACACCAGCTGTTGTCAGCAAGGACTCGCGATGCTTTGGGCTTAACAAACCTTGTAACATGACCATCGACGACGGTGATTGCTGCACTGGTTATTATTGTCACCTGGTATGGAGAGTTTATTTCGCATCTTCATTGTTCCGAGTCAAGTGTTCAAGTTGACTCACCCTTTCTGCCTTGTGATAGGTGGCCGTGTATCCTCCGTACCCCGGTACTTGCTTAGCAGTCTAACTACCGATCGAGAAAGACCTTCAAGATACCAAAGAGCTCGCACGTCACGAGAGTAAGTCATGTCCCTGCCTTCGCATTTGGTAATGTCGTTCATGGAGCAATTCTTGAGATTGCCCTTGGACAAATTTCACTACTGCTAGAGTCATGGGAATTCTTGAATAGAGCATCTTTCGAAAGACTCAATATGATGTTGACAGGAAAATATGACATATGACCGAGGTACTGCAGCCCCAGTGGTCCGAGTCGCTTGAAACTTAGAAATCAAAAAACCTCCCAGGTTGGACATAATCTACGTTCACAGTAGTGCTTTCGTGTTGTTTTCGTCGTTGTTTTCGCTTCTGTTTTCAAATTTCTGGGGAAACCAAGTTCTCTAGTCTTGTCAAATTGGACGGTCCGAGGGAGCCAGTAGTACTTTAGGCAATTTGGTTGGGATCTACGATCCAATTGATATCGCGAATGGGCCAACACTGTTACAGTCACCAACTCCTCACGCTGCCAGGGGCATTCGCGAGGTGTAGCTTATTGTCCGACATAGGATATATTACCCCAATGGACAGCGATTGGAATAATAATAAAAACAGCCACCAACTATGACGTGAACGTCAGCGTCACGGCGTCGGTCTGAACTTCGGAATTGAGAGCAGGTCGAGTTGAATGTGATCTCAGTCCAAAGTTTGTCGAAGACTGTTGTCCCCCCTCGCTGTAAGTATCGCACACTTCTTGGTGTAGACCATGATTTTGTCATGCACACCCCTGAACTCTTCTGCGTGATCACTGACAGGTCGCCAGATTGCGCAAAGTCTGACGCGGCGTTCATGAATTTTCAGATGGTCACATCACTCCCATGGATATCCTAGTGCATTCACAAGGCATCTGTATACAAGAAACATAAACATAGTGCATCGCATATCCTGACTCACATATCCATCACAAACTTCAAGTATAACACCGCGTACGCAGAGAGCAGCGTGCATAAAATGAACTCGATGAAATGCTTCACGCATTTTACCCGTCATCTCCGCGAACCAGCTGTTGACCAACTGCTACAATAAATCATCATTAAGGACGGCTAGACATATTGATTTAACAACTGCGAGGGACAGCAGAAAGGCTAGGCACTCACGCATCATAGCAATCAGACCAGCGTCTCCCATGTGCCATACGGCTCAAATCAAGCTCTGTACCTCCTCGCGGGATCACCATTGCAGTCCCAGGAGAATAATGAAATTGCTGTCGGGAAGATAGGAGCACCCAGAAAAGGAGCTGACGATCAGGCCCTACCATCCATTCATGTCCCGGCAAGAAATGGGTTGAATTGGAAGTATGATGAGAGGTGCCTTCGACTAGTTCAGCAGGGTTGTGCAGTGCGTGGTTCAAGCTGGATGAGGGTGATACGATCGAAAGGATAAGGATAAGATCATTTACGAACGAAAGGACTTTGATCTGTGATGTTGGATAATCGTAACCAATACAGATACCGAACTTGCGGTCTTCCACGTCATATTTCCTCTAAGTAATCAATGCTGCGTCACCGTGACAGGCGCCTCACGACCGCCACCTTAGGGGAATGGTTAACGAGCATAAAAGCCAGCTGTCTTCCTCTCAGATCGGAGTTATTCGAACCTGTCCAACAGTTCTCATATCCGTACAACTAATGCATTTCATCATCCTCGCTATTGTAGCTGCGTTGACAGCATCCATGCCTATCAGTGCCATACCAGCTGTTTTCAGCGGGGACTCGCAATGCGTCAAGCCGGGCCAAATTTGTGACCTTTACTACGACGCCAACAATTGCTGCAGTGGTTATTATTGTTACGTGGTATGGATAGTTTATTTCGCATACCCTTCAAGTTGACTCACCCTTTGCGCCTCGTACAATTGCGATAGCCGTCCGTCGATATTATACTGGGCAGGTGCGAATTAAGCGGTTAATTAAGGACCTTCAAATTATACCAAGGAGCTCGCACGTCACGAGAGTAAGTCATGTCCCTGCCTTCGCATTTATGTCGTTCATGGAGCAATTCTTACATAGTTAAGTTTGCCCTTGGACAAATGTCACTGCCGCTGGAGTGATGGGAATTCTTGAATAGAACATCTTTCGAAAGACTCGGTATGATATTGACAGGAAAACATAAGTGAGCGAAGTACTGCAGCCCCAGTGATCAGAGTCGCTCGTGAAGACCGAAAAAACTTCCCAAGTCGGACATAATTGTTAACAGTACCATTGGTTTCGTCGTTGTTTTCGCTGCTGTTTTCAAATTTCTGGGGAAACCAAGTCGTTTTCCAGTTTTGTCAAATTATTATTGAACCGTGAAGTTGTCCGACTAAGGATTGTAATACTGTCAAATGTAAGACACTGGCCGAGAGAGCCAGTAGTACTTTAGGTAATTTGGTCAGGATCTGCGATCCCTGGAGCATTTACGAGTTCAGAGGTGTAGCAGGGGGAGGGACCCCTTATTGTCCGACATAGGGTATTTTACCCCAATGAACAGTACTAGTGATTGGAATAATAATCAGAACAGCCACCAACTGTGATGTGAGCGTCGGCGTCACGGCGTCGGTCTGACTTTGGAATTGCGTGATCTCGGTCCAAAGCTTGTTGACGGCGAAGAGAAGGCTGGCATCCCTCCTCGCTGTAAGTATCGCACAAGTTCTTGGTGTAGACTATGATTTTTTCATGCACACCCGCTTAACTCTTCTGCCTGATCATGTCGCCAGATTGCGCAAATTCTGACACGATGTTTGTGAATTTTGCGACAGTCACATAGCTCACATGGATATCATAGTGCATTGACAAGGCATCTATAGACAGGCGCATACAAGAAACATAAACATAGTGCATCGCATATCCTGAATCACATATCCATCATAAACTCCAAGTATAACACCGCGTACGCAGGGAGCAGCACGCATAACACAATGCACAGACGGATGATAACATTCGTGCGCGCGACGAAGAGACTGTCGCACTACGAACACCGGCTCGCTGTGAAGAAAAGGGATAACCTGGAGACACCTCCAGGCTGCCAAGATGCGACAAGAAGTGCAATGGAGCAGCTAGCCTAGCTGACCGTGGCATCGCGAACCACGAACCAGTCCCACATATACCAGCTCGCGCAGCCGCACGTAGTGCGCGCGTAGAATCGGCGGCGGCGGAATAACTCGCGTCATCTAAAACACCGTTAAGCCCGATTGCGTTCCCGCATACTGGCTCTTCATGTCATCAATATCTGTCGTGTCATCCTGGCTCTTGTAGTCATACCCGCTCATGCTGGCCATATCAGAAGCACCGGCAGCAGAGGAGAAAGAACCCCTCCTCTGTAAGCGGTCTGACTGCGAGAATGCCATGGCAGCACCACCAATACTTGCGGTGCTCGGCGGTCCAGCATCCTGGGAGATGATGGAGCTAGCGTAACTACCGTATGCGCTGCGCTTCCCAACACCTCCAGAGCCACGGGGTAGCCCAGGACCAAAACCACCAGCCGCAGCAAACATGGGAAGCCCAGAAGAATAAGTGGCTTGCGAGCGCAGAGACTGCACGTCGGACGGGATGTACCCGAGAGCATCGTGGGTGCGGTAGAAACTAGTGTCGAAGCGACTTGGCGTGCCTGATCTGCCTACACCTCCACCTCCACCGTTGGGGATGAAGTCCCGTGCACTTGTCTCGTGGCGGCGGAACTGGTCCATGGACTTGACGAGGGAGCGGCGAGGTTTGCTGAATTGAATCATGCTCGCCTGTAGATTGTTCAGCGGACCTTCGACCAGACAGTTCTTCTCCTTGTAGTGCGTAAGGAGATAGTGCCACAGTGGGTGCTATAAGAATCGATCAGCAGATTGTAGGATCTACCATCAAATCAACTTACTTTGCTGAGAACTTTGGGATTTCCGAGGATGACGACTCCATACTTTGCACGAGTCAGAGCCACGTTCAGACGACGGGGGTCATTCAAGAAACCGATGCCCTGGTGTTCGTTGCTTCTGACACAGCTCAGAATGATATAATCTTTCTCTCGTCCCTGGAAGGCATCGACACTAGCCACTTCAATCTCCTTATACAAGTCCTTCTTGAGGGACCCGTTGAACTGCATATAGTTGACAATATAGGAACGTTGGCCCTCGTAGGGTGTGACAACGCCGATTTGGTTAGGCACGACGCCCGACTTGAAGAACTTGGTCACAATCTTCTCAACGTTTGATGCTTCCGTCCTGAGACCAGTGATAAACAAGAGCAATTATAAGACGAAGAACACGGAAAGTACCTATTAAGAAATGAAGTTCCACTGGATGATATTTCCTCCTGGCCAAGATTCTGGTAGAAGAACATCGGAGTGTCTGGAACGGGCCACGGGAAATCAACATTCTTGCGCAGACGCTCGGGAGCAGTGACACCGTTCTGTAGCGTGCCCTCGTAGAACATGTTCGAGGGGAATTCAGACAGACAAGGGTGCATCCGGTACTGCACTTGTAGACGAATGGGTCTGTTGCCAAGTACAACGAGACGCTCGAAGAGCGATTGCGTCAAACCAGCGCGCGCGGCTTTCTTGTTCATAATAACCGGGCCAAGCTGTTGGTGATCACCGACGAGGACAACCTGCTTACAGCCAAGCACCAGAGGGATCATACACTCTGCTTCAGGGTCAGCCAAGGAACGACTCATCAAAGGATAAAAGCTCCGCACCTGGTTCAGCAGCTTGCGTAGCTTCGTCAATCAAAACCGTCCTGAACTTGAGCTTGTTGAGGCGAGGATCACCAGCACCGACGCACGTGCAGCAGATAACATCCGCAGCACCTAAAATCTCCTTCTCGCATTGCCTAATCAACGTCTTGTACTTCCTCTCATCATTGGAGCTCAATTCTCCCTGTTCGTTCTTCAGCATGATCAACTTCTGCAACTCCACGTGAGTTGTGTTATTTGCAACTTGTTGGTGCAACGTCAAAAAGGAGATACTGGAGTCTAGGGCTTCGCGAGATTTGGCAGTCAGACGCACGACCTTCAAACCGGTAGCATGTATCTTTTCAGTGAGCTGGTCGACGGCCACGTTCGACGGTGCGCAGACAAGAACTTGGCCAGGATTCATCTTGGCGAGATGATAGACGATTGAAGCAGAAGTGACGGTCTTTCCAGTACCAGGAGGGCCCTGGATCAAACTAATGGGCTTCTGCAGAATGCTCTTGACTGCATACATTTGAGAGTGATTGAGTTCTGGAAGACCTGGCGCAGAGAAACGCTTAGGCATCTGCGTGCGGAGAACCTGGGGCTCAAGTTCATGTCCGAGAAGCTTGTGATACTGGGGGCGGGTTAGTTACTTCAAGATATAGAATAATGGACGTACGATGTAACCGTTCACGCTCTTCTCATCGACTGCGAACGTCTTCATCGCCAACTGCATCCTATCAAAGCTAGTGGACTTCCAAACAAAATCTGCCACAAAGTTATGGGTGCAATCGGTAGGCACGCCCTCAGTCCTTCGCAATTCAAGCCCGATTTCGTCGGAAACGTCTAGGAGATCATGATGAGCACAGCAACTGCGATCGAGACACAAGGCTTACTGTTCGGAATCTTGATAACATGCCCTACCCCATCCCAAGCCTTGTGCAATTCGCCCTGATACCTCAACCGCAATTCATCACCCACCGCAAGTCTGACTTCACCGCTCTCAAGCTTGGGCAAGCAAAACCACGCAACTCTCTTCTGGTTCAGACCAAGATCCCATCGAACAGCGATATCAGTCTGAGTCTGACTCTCCTTCAAGCGTTTGTCGTAATCAGCCTCGATCTTGACGAGAGGGCCGAAAATGTTCTGGTACTGATATGCGTCCTCGTAGCGAAGAAGGATAGGCTGAGGTTCGTCATCGACACCAGGCTTCTCGAGGTCCTCCAGTGTGGCGCTGGCGTTTTCACGCCAGAGATCTTCCAAGCGGTTGATCTGGTTGAAGGATATTTGACGAGATCGAAGTTGTTCGGTTTCGGTCGGAGGCTTCACGAGCCATGAAAGGAAGGATCTGTCATCGATCAATGGTGCCCATAAGGAGGCGTTCCAAGACATATCCTTGGTGACCGCAGCGCAAGGCTGGCTGCATATATGCCATGAATATGAGTCTAGATACTAACCTGGTAGGAACTTACCGACACAGCAGGACTACAACGGTGTCACTCTTCGCAGGGATGAATCCCAGCATAAACACATTCTTACTACCACAATTATAGCATTCGGGGGTAGTTTCCCCAAGCGGGCTCTCGGCATGCAAAATAACCTCCTTGTGCTTTGCGCGTACTAGATGGTTCACGATGTGTGAGGCGGAAGTGTTGCCACGCGAGTTGCAGAACCATTTAGAGCACACAAGGCACTTCACGACGGAAGCTGGCGAGTGGATTCCGCAATAACTGGGCGGAACCGAGGCGGATTGAGTCGTGTCCCACGAATAATATGTATGATTCTTACCTGCATGCATGAGGAGGGAGATCTACAGCACCCTCATCTTTGAGGTCATCTAGAACAGCATCAAAGTCTTCATCTATACTCATTTTCCCCGTGTGTGTGTGACGGTGGTGCCCATCGTGTCCACTGGCGTGCGAGGACGTTTGGGAGCGATCGTCTACGATGGAGAGACTTTCCAGGTCGAGAGGGGTTCCAGTGTTTGTAGTTGCTGTATAGACAGAAGAATTGTCGTCTACGACGCTGATGGCGCCGCCATACGATGAAGCCGAATCATACTGAAAGTTGTCGAAACTGTCCATCATGGTTTGCAGCAAAATGCGCTTGCACACGCGCCTCTCTCGTTAAGCATCTTCCCACGCTCTAGGTATAGGTCTCGAAGCACGGTTCCGCGGAAGTAAAGAATGAGTCAGCCCGAGTACATACAACACAGGATGAAATAATTCTATTGCGACTGATACAAATGTTTTGAATACCCGCAAATGACAATGATCGAAGTCCCCATCCATACGGACGTCAAGATGCCACACAAATATGTACCGCCGACCATAATCGAGACAACCAGATATAATAAAAAAAGAATGAGCGACTTCGGTTTAGGATGAATTACAATTAACGCCTGTGTTTCATAGACGTGCGTATTCTAGGGCGTGTGGGCGTTTCGTTGGTGGGAGGTAAGCGAGCAGGAATACCGTCCATCGCGTGCGGGTGCACTCTGGTGGAAGGGCCGTCAAGGATTGCGCGGTTGCGCTGATGGCTGGCAGGTTTGGTTTGGGGCGCCCACTTTGATGCCCCAACGCCTTCCGCCCGTTCCATCGGGACGTCTTCGACTTCGGGAGCCGCCAGCTGACTGCTGTCAGCTGCACTCTCCTGACTTTCCTCGGGCTCTGCAGATTCCTCAGAAGCTTCAACTTCGAGATCCTGGTCCATGGCGTCCACGTCCGCTTGTTCTATCTCTTCCCCCTCATCTTCCTCCTCAGTGTCGTCATCATAGAAACCACTTGGAGGCTCTCCAATCCACTCATCCTCATCAGTGCCGAAGTCCCACACATCAAGTACTGTGGTGGGATTCCGATTGCTGGCGGCGACACACCAGCGACCCTCGAAAACCACCTGCCAAACACCCTGGATGCCTGTCAAGAGATCGCGGACGACGGTACCATCGCGCACGTTCCACATCTTGAGCGTACCATCGGACCCGCTGAGCACCTTGAACTCATCGTGTTGGAAGCACGTGATAGCGCCCGTATGGGCGGCAAGGGTGTGGCGCAGTTCTCCAGATTCAGGATCCCATATGCGCAGAGTCGAGTCAGCGGCTGCAGAGACGAGGTGGGAAGGGGACAGGCCGAGGAGACCGACAAGTGATGTGTGCCCAGTCAAAGTATGTTGGCACTGTCCTGTTCGTAAGTTCCACACACGGACAGTGCCATCCATGGACCCCGAACAGGCGATCTGGCGGTGGATGTCAAGAACAACGCTATATACTACGCGAGGCTTTAGTGTCAGGGTGTCGAGGTAAACTGTGATACGAACCTTTCTGTGTGTGGCCCACAAGAACCCATTTACATTCGCCGGTGACGATGTCCCATATTCTTACAGTGCAGTCATAGCTCCCAGATACAAGCGTGCGGCCACGGGCAGCGAGAGCACGAACTGCGTGATCATGACCCTCTAGGTGCATCTTATGATACGGATTATCGTCCGCATCCTCCTGTAAATCGAACAAAATGTGAACAAAAGTGCGAAACGCGTAGTATAAAACATACATCAGCTGGGTCAGCCTCAGAGTCATCTGCACCATAGCATCTGTATTCAGGATCACCAGGCCGAGGCAAAGTCCACACACGAAGGGAGTGGTCACGGCTGCCGGTCACGATCATTGACCGTTTTGGCCACTTCTCCCTCGTAATGACACCGCCTTCGCCTTCGATTTCGATCCACTCTGGCTTGACAATAGCCAGACATCGGACAGTGCTGGTATGACCGCCGAATATATGCGTACATCGACCAGTCGCGAGATTCCAGATTCGGACTGTGCGGTCAGTCGACCCACTGACGAGCGTGTCTTTGCAGGCGGCAAGCGCCCACACACCACCTTCATGGCCATCCAGCGTTTGCAGGAGTTCGCCCGTCAAAGGCGAGTACACGTGAATTGAGTGATCATCGGACGCGGAAATGATGCGCCCATGGGAAAGAAGGAGACAAGTGACGACGGAGGAGCCATGTGCGGGGAACGATCGATGTTTCGGGTTCTCATTATCCACCCATCGCGTTCGAGTGAGTTGTCGCGATTTGAAGAGCATTTTATATGGATGAGGGAGGGGAAGGGTTCTGGGAATGGGGGCCACGTCAAGGCGGCGCCTGGCGTAGATTGAGTGCGCAAAAGCTCGCTCGGTGACACCTCCGAACCAGATCTTGGTATTTTTGAGGAGATCAGTCCAAAGTACGGGATCGGAGTCAATGATGGCGCGCCAGGCTTTGGATACTCTGGATGCTCGAACTACAGTAGAATAAGGAAGGAAACTCAAAACGTGTGATGCAAGTTCTGGGGGGAGTAATGTCAAAAAATCACGCGCTAGAGTCGGAGTTAGAATAGAATGCAGTGTCCGCAGAACGGGTAGAGGAGAATGTCGTAAGAGAGTGAGGAGGAAATGAGACTGCAACGGTTGGGGAAGGCTTATAAAATGTGATAAAAGAGAAGGAAGAGTAAGAAGGGTCGTGAGGGCAAGGTCCGGTTGTAGAGGTGCTTGAGGTTGGGGGGAAGAAGCACCACTAGGAGGTGCAGAAGGCCAAATAGGTTGTGGTGGTGGTGACCCATGAGGAGATGGCAGCGGGGATGGAGGAGCAGCGGCATTCAAAGTAGTAATTGGGGGAAGATGCGTTGCCCTTGCCTTCTTTCGAGGGGGGGTATGTGTCTCGCGCTCAATCGTAGGCTCTACGCCCTCCATCATATTGTCAGCGCCGTGTGACCGTTTCCTGCCATAGCGCTCAACCGCCTCCGCCAGCCCTACAACTTTACCTGAACTGCCAGATGAATCAGGCCTTATCATCGTCCAGCCCTTTCCACTCGGAATTGGTTCCTCCTCATCCAAATCTCCCTCTCCGTCAGCCCCATCGCGGAATGTCGCACGGGAGCCATTAGGAAATACAAGGGGGAATCTCTTGAGGGATTGAGGAAAATTAGCGTGCAGTAAGGGGTACTCTCTAGGATCTTTGGGCTCAGTGGGAGGGGGTAGCGGTGGCAGCTGTATCGGCGCGTACGCCGTCGTGGTCGTTGTGGTCGTGACTACCCTGGTTAGCAAGCATACGCGTCAATTATGGGTCGGATAAGGTAAAACAGCGAGAAGAACGTACGTCGTAGTGTTGATAGACGGTGCAAGGACCAGCGACGGTCGCTGCTGGTGGGTCATGACGATGAGGAAGATGCTGAAGTCGTCGTATCCTTAAACGTTTCGCGCTGTCGCCGAGCCACCCTCCCCCAAGCTTGGTCATATTAAAGCGGAGTTTCATTTAATCCTTCTCGGCATCACCTGCCGAGCGCCTAAAGTAAAAGTCAGTGACTTCGTCTTGACTCTATTGTGCACTGCACCTCTGAGATCTTATATCAGCACTACTTACAAAGTCGAGGCGTCCAAGGTTCGCAAAAACGCTGTTGCCTTGTTACTTTCCAGTTCTTTGGCTCTTTCACTTCAACTCATGGCACACGCCAGTGAAAAATCCTACCCCTTTCGCCATTTGTTCACCATCGGGCGTACTATCGTAGGCCGCCGGGTCGGGAGGCACCGAGCTAGGTCTGTTTTCCTTACCATGACCTTGGTTACTACTACTCTGCAATTATCGCTCCAATTCCATCTCCTTATCGAACGCACTTGGGAGTCCAAAGCGCAGACTCAGCCACAATCCACGTTCATACCTTCAATGAATTTACCTTCTAAATCATTTGATCGTCTCTTCTCCGTATTCACGACCGTAGGGAAAGTAATGCAGGCTCTGATCAAGACATTCCAGCAACTCGACTGTGCATGCGTTCCCATCATTGGTCTATTCTCCATAACATGAACGGCGGCCCTCTCGAAGACCATTACCATGACTGTCACCCAGTACGTACCGCGCTACCAATCACGTCAAAAGCCTGCGCATTGATCTGATCGCGGCCCCACCCGATATACTTGGCATTATACATGCTTATCAATGCCACGCGCTCGCTCAAGCACTTCTGTGGCATAGGTCAATGTCACTAGATGTCACTGTCAGATATCCGTGTGTTACATCGTATGGCGGGCCCCGTCTCCTAGAAGCTTTCATTTTGCCAAGGTCACGTCAACGGTCTGCAGACCTACCTCCGAATAATCGAGAAGCGAACCGATCTCACTTCTGAGTTCTCTTCGTTTCGGGCGTTTTCCGCAGTGCCATGTCACCCCACACCACACACTCATAATTAACCCTCCAAAGTCTCAAGCTCACACAGAAGCATTCAAGTACGCTTCTTCTGATCAAAATTCTTCAAAATCTGTTATTTGCGAAAATCTCATGTGTATAGAAATATAAATATCTTGCGAACCCCGAGTTCACCGATCGTCACGGTACCACCTGAGTCTCAGTCATCGTTGCGCCTCTCCTGGATGTTTATTCCCTATCCTCTTTTCAAAGGAGACGACTTGACAAAGCGACGATAGCCACGAGTCTCTCCGTGCGGAGATAATCGATATCAGGCAGCCTTCTATGTACAACGGATCAATTTTTGGCCCCGGCGTTCCCCGTATTTCCGTTAATGAGCTTCCGTCATTTCTGCGGCCTTCGGACAACTTTGGACGTCTGGCGCAGTTCTGCTTAACCAGCGTCGGTCCCGAACATTATGGGTGTTATATACTACTATACCGTCGGACGCGGATATCAAATCCCAAGGAACACTCTCAGAGCCACTTGAAAGTTATGGTGCGTATTCATGACTTTCAAAAAGCTCGGAGGGTGTTCGCGACAGTCTACGGAAATGTAGACATAGATTAATCAGATTTTTCTTTTCTGGAGGAGGCGGCCGATGGGTGGTGCGCTGGAACTAGCCCTTCTAGAAGCCTTGGAGGCGCTGTACTTGTCCGAAAGAGTGGTAACCAATAGTATGAGCCTTGGACTCAGGCGCTGTAAGTTCGATGCCTGTGTATACGTCCGTTGTACACATGTACGCAAAAGCAGACAAGTTTATCTACTTCATCTAATAATATTGAATGAGCTTATCCATCTTGACTAGTGAGGAAATTTGTCTCCGGCAAATACGGTAGGATACGCCTCAAGTGTGTGTGGCTGTAAGTTGCCCCCTCCCCCTCAATTCAGGTTCCCCAACGTAGGGAGGATAACAATTTTGGATTTGAACCGGCATCGCGGCAGATCAGTCGAAAGTGATTTATCCGATACATGCGGAAGTCGTGACATTTGCCAAGGACAAGCCTGGCGGCCGATCTGGCAGGAGCACTGGGAGTTGTACGCTCGCGCGAGCTTCGGCGTAATCACCTTCAGACTATGAACAGACAAGTTTATTCTTTCATGGTTTCGTGGCGTTTGCCCTTGGTAACGAATATTTCGACAAATGTGTAGGTTGAGCTAAAGACAGCCCCCTGAGATCTGTTGGTGCTAATTAGTCGATCGTATTTCGTGCTGGCTAAGAACAGGACTATAATACAGTTCCCTATGAAAGCGATATCAACACCACCGCGCAGCGAAATAAAAAATGCCTGCAATATATGCTGTGGTAGATATGAGTTAGGTGACTACATAGACACGTCGACCACCACAGCTGGCTGTACCATTTTCTCACCGTGACTGTTCTGGATGCGGGGCACCAAAAAAACATACCAATGCAGTAGCCACCAATCAGGTCTGATGTTTTGCAACGGCGGCGTCCAGCAAACCAGCAACGATGGCACATTGTCCAGCAGGTACTTCTCACGATGAGATGTCATTTGCTCCCGCCTAAGCCGATCGCGGTTCCTGGAGTACGGGTTCGGTTGTGGAGATCGGCAGGCTAGATTAAGTGCGGCACCTAGTCGCATTAGTAACATCAGGGGCCCCAGTCGACGAGACCAATGGGAGCACAGACGCTCACGATACGAGTTGGCTGAAATTCCTTTGCTTAGAGGATGAAACGTGTAGACGCCGTTGCTAATACGAAAATAGGAGCATAAATTATACGTACATGACGCAAATTGAGAAGCACACGGTGTAAGAGGAATTGGATTGTGGGGAGTACCTTGCAAATGGGACGGGAGGATCAACTGACGAATGATCGTTGGTGCATAACAATGCGATCGAAACGACGTTGATGCCCGCCAGGTCGTCGAGGTCAGGTTGACAGTCGATCAGAAGAATGACGTGACGTATTGCCTGTCCAAGATCTTCATTCCAAAGAAGGTGATATCGAGGAACGAATCTTAAGTGCACCAACGTCGACTGGGGCGGAGCAAAGCGTCCAGTCGACGGAGTGCTGGTGACAAGCGATAAGGAGCCAATCGTCGACCTTCTTTTTACGAGCCATTATCGGCACGCGGGGAGCACATGCAACCTGTCCAAAAAGAGGCCCGGAAGGAGAGAGAAAAACATACCTCTGGCAAAAAGGGGCGTTCGGTTTCGTTCATGGTGAGAACGGTGAATTTGAACAGCAAGGAAATACTTTCTGAACTAGCAAACGTGGAGACAAAGTCCCGTTCAAAGAAACGTCAGTGAAAGTGGGGATGTTGCGATGCGACAGAACGTGGATGCGACTGGGAAACGCACATTCAATCGACTTGGTCGACAATATTCGAATGCAGGACAATTCCCTACTGGGCCATCGGTGCGTGGCAAGAATATTAATTTTATCCGTTGGACAGCACGTCCGATGGTTCGCCGTGTCCAATCAATGATAATCTTTGGACAGAAAACAATCCGTTCAACAATTGGCGATACCCGCCATCGTTGAGGTACACTCCTCGTAGTCTCTCCTGGATCATCGGACATGTAGAATGCCGTAAGCGGTATTCAAACTTATTGAAGTCGTAGAAGTGCACTTACCTTAGTACATAGCGTCTAGCTCACGATACATATATAGTAACCTGTCTCTGGAAATAGACAGATAGACGACCGTTCAATTGATTGCAAAAACGTGTCGACTATCTGAAGTTATGACTAAAGATTGGGACCACATACTTCCTACAAGTTTGTGGCATGTTACTCCCGTGTGCAGTGCACTGTCTTTAAGATGATAAAAAGTTTGTCGTCAGGGAAGCACATACAGAAGATATTCTGGAAGAAGGGGTGGGTCACGTTCCAACGGTATATACGGACATTGAGCAGTTTAATTTCCGAGTGCGGTGTTCTTAAGATAGACCTACATAGATATTGGAGTAAGTTAGCTGAAGTCTGGACCGACAAGGTCTGAGGGAATGACCGTATTTGTGCCAGGTGAGAGGTTTTGATGAAACCTATTTCTGCAAATTGAGAAGTTGTGATTTGAAGCCTTGAGAATGTTCGCGTTTACGACGGCGGTTTTTGAGCCTGGGATACCGCAGGCACATAGGAGGAAGAAAGGAGCACGCGGGGGCACGCGGCTGCTTGGAACAAAGAAATTTAAACTCCGCAGAAGGCTTGAGGCGAAGAGGTCGCAGAGGGGTGTAAGTGAAGAAGCGCTGAAATCTCTCACCGGATTCAGTGTCTTTTGGAACAGAGGACTGAATTCGGTTTGTAAGACAAACGGTCTTGTCCATATTGCGTGGAAGGGAATCGGCTGTTATCTGTTGCGTGCAAATTTCTTACTATTGATCTTACAATTTCATCTTCTTACTAAACACAGTTTTTGGCTGGTTGTCAGTTCCCTGTGGAACCCGCGCTACTCCGCTTGAGAGTTGTCTGCGTGAGCCAGTATCTCTTGTCAGTTTCAGTTTCTAGTTTTATACTCGCTATCATTTCTACAAGGTATGTCATGTTATCTCCCCTGGCAGAAATCATGCTAATGCCATTGTCGCCTATCCCTTGCTATCCGCAGTTTTACCTCGACCCTACCGCCCGGTTTAACTACATCACATCCATGCACCATCAAGACCACGTTATCCCTCAATCCAACATGCCTCCTGCTCGTTCACCTCAAATCGACCCCGCTTTATCGCTCTACCCTCCCTACTACCCATATCAGCAGCCTCAGCAACACATGAACCACCATCTCACAGTTCCTCAGAACTTACCTTCTCCCTCATCCCAAGGATCGGACACTATGGGAACACCGCCGACCGACAACGTGTCTTACTCACCTGGCAATTCAAACGGTAAAAGACCTTCCTCTTCCCTGGTCGGTGCGATGGGCGAGAACAGCAGAAAAAAGGCACGGTCAGAAGACAGCTTGGACGGTCAAAGTCCTACTGCTGATGAACCGAAGCCAAAGACCACCAGAGGTTCACGGTGAGCATCTTGACTTCCTTTGGTATCACGAGTCCTAATCATCCTCCTTAGCGCGTGCACAGTATGTCGGCGTTTGAAAATGAAATGCGTCGGGGCAGAGCAGGGCCCTCCCTGCAAACGCTGCATTGCTGGAAATCACGAGTGCATATTCGAAGAGTCTAATCGAGGCAAACGCTCCACCAAGTATGTTTCAGTTTCATATCTCTTGCACAAATGGTCAACGCTCAAAATGAAGTCCAAGAAAACATGAGCTCCTCACTCGCTCACTAAAGAAGATGGAGAAAACTCTGGACACAGTTTTAAAATCGATCGGTAATCCGAGCATGGTTTCTGGCATGGTATCGAGGTCGCCTTCACCCACAAGTCAAGCAGCGCAAACACAGGCCCTTATGGCAACTCCATCGCCTCCTCCCCAGTCTGCTTATCCGACATCATCGAGTGCCAATGCCTCTGCTTCCCCAAAGCTCCATTGCCTTCCCGATAACTCACTTAACCCTCTCGGGCTGCTGGCCGAGGCAAGTTTGGCAAATCGACGTGCTCAGGGCATATCATCTTCGTTCTCAGCGCGCCCAGCGGAACCTGATCCTGATCACAAATTGGGCGTGGCTAGTGATAATTACTTTAGGCCAGGTCAGCAGCTGCTTTTTCGCACGTTGTCTATTTTTCAAATTCGTAATGTTCTAGGCCCAATGACCATACTTCCCCTGCGACGTTTGTATATCGAACGGCAGATTCAGCCGGAAATGTTGAGCTTTGTTACCACCGAGCAAGTGGTGGCGCTGTTTGATATGTAAGTATGGCATTTTATACGTCCCGATGTCGATCTGATCGGCTGGTAGCTACTTTGACAATATGAACGTCCGTACTAAGTGCTATCACTCCATGTGGTGCCGTATCCTAATCCTCTTCGTAGGTGCACAGTGAACTCCTTGATAGAGAGTTCCACACACCCTCGCTTGTCTGTTCCCGCTCGCCATTTTTACTCACGACCAGTAAGTTTACATCCCTATCGATCTGTGCGGCGCCTTATCTTCTGCAGTTTGTGCGATATCATCCAAATTTTACACCCAGCGGCCGGAACTTCATCAGCAACTTGCGGAGCTCGCACAAAAGCTCGCGTTTAGCGTAGCCGCAAGAGGTTATAAATCCCTTGAGATCGTGCAGGCATATCTCCTCCTCACTCTCTGGGGATGCGGTGCCGTGGAGCGCTATGAGTACGACAAGACGTGGTTGTTGTTGGGAATAGGCATCAGGTTTGTGTCTATTTATTTCATCGGAAGATCGTAGTGACATCTATCATTCAGGATGGCGACGGATCTGAACCTACATCGGAAGACAACGATGACCAGCCAAGATACGCCAGAAGGTCGGGCTCGTGATAAGGAGGTCCACAACCGTGAGCGAACATGGCTCCTGTGCTTTGCCCTTGACAGGAGCGTGAGTTCGCAAATGGGAAAGCCTCATTCTATCAAAGAGGAGTAAGGCGGTCCCTTTTCCAATTTTCACATCTAATCATTACACCTACCAGCTTTGTAATCCGCAATGCACTGCAATGGTTGAAATCCCCCGTTGGACAGCCAGGGGACACGGCGTTAGCGGCATATGTCGTACGTATTCATTTGTCGCAAGTTTAGTGCATGGTTTGATCCCCACTACCAGGAATTGCAGCGGATTGTATCCAGGAGTTTAGACTTCCTGTATTCGGGCACCAATACCCCGTCCGGTTTACAGACCGACTGTGATTACCTGATTGTCACTAAAACTATCGAGACCCAGATACTTGCATGGCAACATGAATGGACGGTCGTTCGACCTCTGCCAACCTGTAAGATACCTCTATTTGAAGCAGTCTTCTGTATCATTCTTACCATTTGTTTAGCCGATCAACTGGCGGTGGCACAATCCCGAACGTTGCTCAAGTTTTACTTCCACTACTATATGCTGGTTGTGAACTCTTTTGGGCTGCAGAACGCCATGGAGCATTCGGCAGTGGATATCGGGCACTTCTTCTCGCGGTGTTATACCTCGGCCACAGCAGTGGCTGTTGTCGCGCGAGACGAGCTAGCGCCAATGGGTATGCTGAAGTATTCGCCGGATTCACATTTCGTATATATCTCTTACGCAGTACTCAGTTTACTCAAGGTACTTTGATGTTATCATCCGTCATTTGTCATGTTACTAATTTAGATTTCCAGCTTATCCGCCCAGAGTTCCAGCCGTTCATCGAGAACGAGCAAAACATCATCGACCTCGTCAAGGACCTTGCAACTGTCCTCGCAGACATTGCCGTGAACTCTCATCATACCCCAGCGCTGTACAGCACATTCCTGCGCGCTCTTATCGCCGCTCGCACAGATACACCACAAGAGCCCGAGGAAGTGCCATCTGGAGACCAATCTGATAATATGAGCCATGGCGACATGGCCAACAACATGAACAATTCAGCGCTCTTCGCTCACCCGACGATAGTAATGAACGGTACTAATGGCATGGGCGATTATTCGTTCGCGAGTGAGATGGGCCCCGTTGCGGATATTTCGACTTTCCCTCCGACTATGGCTGATATGCCATCTTCTGACGAACATATGGGGATGCTTTCTATGGAAAACATCCTGAGCAACGGGTTCTGGGACAGCGTGTTGGTGCCTGGTAAGCGGATATAAAGCAAGCGTACTTTCGACTTTCTGACGTATCTTTCAGGTTATTCAGACACTATGGAAGGCCTAAGTGGCGGCTTCGTGTTCGGAGCTGGAGGCAGTGGGCTCATCACTCCTGGTTGGCTCCCCTCCCCTATAGCTTCCCGCGAGAACACCCCAATGCGACACCCAGCCATGGACTTTAGCCAACAAAATCTAGTCAGCGTTTTCCAACAGCGAAAGAGCTAATTATGTAAATGACACGTTTCATATTTCATCTTTCTGTTACATATGTTTTTTTTTGGTTGCTATCGTTCTGCTGAAACCTATTTGATGCGTGATCTACATACGTATGTTGTTAGGATGGTGTTCTTTTTCCTTCGCTGTGCTATGTTTCACTACATACTTACTATTAGGGCGCAATGTATAATTTTTGCAATTGGTACATATCAGTTTCTTGGGATGAAGTGTTGTTGGGTGATGGTCTATAGTTTCAAACCAGCCTGACCACTGAGTACTGAGTACTGAGTACTGAGGATGCGTGAGGTACTATGTGCGTTTAAGACTGGTAAGTTTATTTCGAGAGAAAACATAATACCAGTCGTACGTGGAGGTCGTCTGGTGCGGTAATGTACAGTATTGATGAGGTGGAAGCATGGAGTCCGTGGACAGAGACAGCAGGGGCCCAGAGGGGCCCAGCCGCACTCGGCTATTTTTGGACTTCCCATCGATATGCCAAAAAAGGAATTTGTAAATACTTACATCCGAGCTTTGTCCAAGACGTCGACTCCAAGTGGCAAGGACCAAGTTGCGCCCGGGTGTCAAGTATGCACTCAATGAATACTGCAAGGCTGTGCATACTAGTACTGGCAGTATACACACTACAGTTCCTTCAATATCGCAGCTCCTGGTAAGCTCCTCCGCATTCTTTTTTTTTTCGTTCCCTGTGTCGACTAGTACTACACAACTTCTGACCTTCCGATCTCGCCGTTTGATCGAAATGGACTTTCCGCGGAACAAAGTTTTTCCCAACGTCATCGTACTTCTTGGGGGGTCTTCTGCAAAAAAAGGAGGACCCAAAACAACTCGACGGTTCCCAATCGCTGGTACTCCGATGAAAGCTGCTATCAGCGGATTGTTGGTAGTCATCCAAGCTGTAGATGTGAGCTTATTTGATCGTGAGGACCTTTCTCGATTTTAAAGGGCATCACAGACAAGTATTCAGAATAAGGCGGACCTGAATCTCCTGACATCACGATTCCATCGACTAATCTGCCGTATATCGAACGCGCCGATTGCCTGGGATCCTCCCGGAGAGAGGTATGCGCCTTGTAGATATCTCCTTGAATTCACCTGACGTCGAGTCGAGTTCCACATCAGTGGACTGCACGATATCTCAGTCCAACTGACAAAGACGATGTCTTGATACACATCCGTCACGCAAGTCATAACCGGATTCGCCAATAAAATAGACCGTTAGAGTGTTTGGTTGCGTTCTACTCTATAGATCGCGTGCATTTACTCACACTCGGTTAGTTGTGGTCCGAAATGCAAAGTCAACGTGGTATACCAGAGATATCGACAATGCTACAGCGCCAGGAGACGGTTAATCAGAGGCTGCTAATCAGAGCCCGGGGACTTTGATGCTTGGCTATGTGACACTGGTAGATGCGACACGAGCATCCAATACTAGTGAACCACCGTACCTTATTTCAAGTACGCCTCGCCAGGTGGAAACTATGTCCTAGAGAACCTCACTCATCACATTCTTTTAGTAATTCAATAAGACGCTCGAAGCTCTATTTGAACACAAGCCAATCGGAACTCAAGTTCAGAGACGGTATACGAAGGATGGACAGTATGATCTGTGCATCGACGAGGGTCACACTAGCAAGTAACCCAATCTGCCATGCGCTAATGGTCAAGAATTGAAGCGGTTATTATGAAACAGGCAATAACATCGATGTCTGCACAACATCAAAGTCATCTTTGCGGAAATTGTGTTCTTACTCGTTCGCTTCTACGGAGGCTAATTACTCGTTTTGATTGGTCAGTATTTTTCTCTTCCGGATCCTGGCAGGATCTAACTACCAAAAGTCGAGGATGCAAACGCCGATTTCAGATCCCGGTCACCCAGGAGCTGCGCAAACCGAAGAAGGGCGTCATTGAACGTCGACAGACCACTCAAGCTTCAAATATTAACTCCAATCACGCTACTGGCTTAGGGATTGATCTTATTCGCAACTTCCATGTCCAGAAAATGGTACGTGTATCATGAAAACCCCCGAGCAATATTACACTGAAACGATGTTGGTGCCTGCTACTATTAGTTTATGCGTGATGCACGGAGACATAGCCAACGACATGAGCAATTCCACGCTGTTTGCTAATGTTCTCCATGTGAAGCAAATTCAGGTCATGAATGTGCTTTCTATGGAGATCAACATGAGCGACATGTACTGAGACAGTATCTTAGTGCTTGGTAAGTAAATATCAAGCAAGCCTACTTTTTTGACTGGCCTTTCCGACCTATCTTTCAGGTTGCTCAGAATGCTATGGGAGGCCTAAAAAGCGTCGGGGCTGGAGGCAGTGGGCTTACCACTCCCGGTTGACTCCGTTCCCCCTGCCTTCCGGCTAGAACAAGCTAATGCGACAAGCATGCACCATGAGATTCACCCAACAAATACAATATCTAGTCGACGCTTTACAACAGGGGAAGAGCTAAGTGACGGACGCGCTTTATGTTTCACTTGTTGTCACATATGTTGTTTCCTCTTCACGGTGCTCTGTTTCACTGCATTCTATCGAGGTGCTGACAAGGTTTGTCTAGTACCCTCGAATCCCCGGGTCTGGGATGTCGTGAGGTTTATGCGTGTCTGACTACGGAGGTCTTCAAACTACTCAGCGCGCAGGCAGCACATTGGCCAGAATACGCAAGACTCGAGTTGCATGGACTGCGAGCAGCAGCAAGTATCCCCGCGGCTCCGAGAAAAGGTATCTGAATGTGGGGTGTTGGGTAATGTATCATCAAGGATTGGCAAATTGTTGCTATATTTGGCCCATCTTATTGTCATCCTACGGATCCAGAATTTGGAAATTTGAAGATATGAAGACTTATCCCTCGTCCAAAACCCTGAGATAGAAAAGTGAATGAGTGAAGGAAGCGCCTTAATATCCAAGTGTCCTAGGTGAACGTGGGTGAGTCTATCACAAGCGGTTTCCGAGAATGATGGGATTTGCAGATGCGGAATACTGTAATGTACAGAAGAGTATGATGTGGGCGAAACTGTCTTTCCTCACGATACCGGCTCCATGCTTGCCAATCACAGGTCCTGTTCTTGATGAGTCTTATAATTTACATGGGTGACGTACTGACGCCGCGTGTCAAATTTACTATAGGCTCCTTCCTGCTCCTTCGCGAACTTCGGGTGACAACTTCGTCAAGATACACAAACGTGAGTCTAATCCTTCGGCAAGTCCTGGGGGATGTCATGACAACACGCATATTCAGTACAAATGAGTATGCGAAGCTATTGCCCACTTGGTGAATGAGGATGGTTGACGGCGCAGTACGCTACAAATATCGCCTCCCAGCGATACTGTGTGGGACCCTACCAGGGCATTGTAAATATCTTTAACGACCCAACCTGCATTCCAGAGTCCAACGGACAATTTTTTCGGCGATAGAACTGAAAGGTTACACGGCCTTAGGCCTGCCCATAGTTTTACGGAACATGTACAGCAACTACGTAGTGACCAGAGATGGATTTCCTAATACTGGATAGGATTTGTGCTTCGGGCTCCGTCGGAAAGAATCCCAACTCGGGATCTCAGTGGAATCTCTGATTTAATTATTAACCGTCAGCTGTTTCCAGTAGAGAAGTGGTCTGGACTCTGGAGTGTCATAATAATTTTTCTGGCGATAACGATACAGTATTTAGATGTGCGCATGTAAGTAATACTGAACAGAGTTGAGAAGTATCACCACGAGAATGAGTGTTGCCCCTGATGTTGAGTGCTGCCCTGAGGCTGCGTCTCTTAATTCTAGCAGTTGCACCCTTCGCGGAGTTGTAATTTCGAAGTTTTCTTCCATCAGAAATGCAAGGCAAGGCTGGAAATGCCTTCTGGTGAGTTCATAGAATACGAGTCGGCGAGTGGTTGGAGATATCTCACAAGGAATAATAGCAGTTGAGCTCCATGTTTACCTTGGTGCCACGAAGGCGAGGAGGTTCCGTCGTGACCAGTGCCACAATCACTCACACATCCCCGAGATCTCCATGTTGACCCACATGGGACTTGATTCAAGGGAAACCATCATGCCCACTGCACTCTTCTGGAAAAATAACATTTATAAATCTTCGTACAAATCCTAAACCTCGAGGTAAATTTCGAGGCTACTTCTTCTGTCCGCGCGTACTCCTTGCTCAATATTTCCGCTCCCTCGTCGTCTCCGATCATATATGCTGGTTACTTCACCAGGAGTGAGAAATCACCAGCGTGCTGCCACACCTCAGGACTTATTGGGTGTTGATAATTATAACTTGCGTTTTGCTATTCCTGCAGAAGTGTGCTCATCCAAAAATGAACGCCGGCTGTGGCTGTTGTCTGCAGGGCTGACTCGGATACTCCCCTCTACATAGCTGGTTTCAATCGGCAACCCACTGCAACTCATCAGTGTGAATGCTGTCGTCGCAAGGGTAGATGATCAAACTGCAAAGCAATGTTGCCGGACAAGCTCACCGTGGAGCTTCTCCAACGAGGAGCCTGCCAGTTTGCTTGGCACAGGTAATTTGATATGCCCCTTTCTTTCAAGGATTATGAACTTCTTCTGATTGTCATGGACTCGTGGTGCTGACCTTCGCTATCGTATAGGTACAGTTCCTCCGCTGGACGCATCCGTTGATCGGGACGATCGTCGAGACGTGTACTATTTCAAATGCTAATCTTGGTACACAGGGTAACACGGTTTTTTCCTCATGGACGGTCTTCCAGGTACAGGGGAGACAGGGGGCCGGTTCTATTGCACCTGGTGTCATGCCTACAGAGACGCCTCGGGTCTACCCGCGATGACGCCTGCAACTAGTGCTTGCACTACACCTGTAGAAGGCATTTCTCCAGTAAGTTCTCCGAGTCCCCAACTAGAGTTGCCACTTCACAGGTATCGGCAATCTCTGGTGTGAGAGCTCTCCTCCTCTATTCTGGTCGCCATGCTGGGAGTTATCGGAATGGTCATGGGTAGAAGCATGTCAGTGTAAGGGAAAGAGAAGTGCTCTTTGGGTCTGTGTTTCATATGGGTACTGCTATGTGTACCGTAATATACTAATGGGCTCTCTGTATCCTAGTGGCGTCTTTGATGACAAAACTCGTTAATAAAAGTGAAGGTGATGTGATCACAATCAGATTGGGAAGCCATTGTTCGACGCTTACGGCGGTCATCATTCTAACTCCTTATGCCACAGCCCGTGCGGATATGATTCTGCTCTCACAGACAAGGTCGACAATTTGGGAAACTGAGGAGTAAAGAAGGGAGAATTGCGTGTGTCAATTGAAGCCGTATGGCTGCGGAACTAAACCCACAGAAGGATTGAAAGAAAGTTGCAGCTGGTAGATCGTCTGCAGTGTTATACAGGATTGCTAAGATTTTTGTTCCTGTCAGGAACTTGACGTATGTATCCCATGGATGAACGTTCGATGAAGATAGATGGCGATGTCACCTTGACTGGAATCTGCCTCGTTGCAAACACGTTTTCAACTTTCCTGGATGAAACCGCCCGATAATCTACCAAATTTCTTACTGGACGGTACGGAATTAAGTCGCTCAAGTCTAATCTTGGCGAGCAAATCTCTCGCAACCCAGCTAGGTTAGCGAGATCCCAGCCCTTACAAGTCTTCGTCGCTTCCCGTAACTAGCACGGGATCTGAATCAGCCTTCGCAGCCTCATGAGTCATTATATAAAAACCTGCGCCGCTCATATCATTATCTTCTTTTCTTTCTTTTGCTTCGGTGCTCATTAATTCGACATCCTCCCCTCTACAGGGTTCAATCTGGGTCACGGTGTTCACGACCTCCTTTCATGACAGAGTACACAGCTTCGCCAGAGGCCGTTCAGGTCTTTAGAAGCTCTCGTGAACGTACTGAGTCCTGGGTCCGTTCGCACTCACCTTTCCATTCCCAGTTCTATTCTCCAGAAAGTCCCCCATCCGTCGCTAGTGATATAGATATCGAAGAACGTCAATCAGACAACGGTAGTTCGCATTCTCTACCTCCCAAGATGATGTTGAAATATGGGAACGGACGAGATATTCCTATCTCGCATTGGCACTATGAAAACGGTAGCTCTCATAAAGGGAGCAGCCATAGTTCCAATTCTCGTCCCCATCTTCACACTGGCCATCACCACCATTCACATGACCGATCGAGGTCTGCTGCTGATGCGTACCCTGCGCGAGCTCCTCGCCACCCAGAACACACTGGGTATCACTCCTCAGCACGAGATGCATATCATTATAACCGTGCAGACCCTGAAGATATGGAACCTGAAGAAATACAAATCCTTCCTTCTGACCCACATGCTACGCCTTATGACTCAAGAAACGAAAAATATCGGCCCCGTAGAGCTTCAGAACCTTACCGACCCGAACCCTTACAATCTCCGCCACATAAAAGTGCTGTTGAAGTTCTGGCAACACCTTTGCCACGCTACGTCCCCAGTCATCACCGTGACGCTCCTGCTGCCCCACCAGTCACCTACTCTCATTCGCAACCCATCCCTCGACAATATGAGCAGCATCACCCCGCGCACTCTCATTCGCGAAATCGGCCCCCACCTTCGATCGTATATGCACCCGGAGCTCATCACGCTTCCGATCATCATTATGCGCCACCAACAATTGTATATGCCCCAACTAAGGCACCAGGCATGACGTACACAGTGTCTGCGCCCACGGGTTCAGGGTTTCCGCAATACCCTCGTATTACTCCTGCCCCATACCCCACCGTCAATAGTCATCTCGCGTCTATACATGAAGAGGCACGGTATGGTCCGAGAGGCCCCCTTCCAAGGGAAGATCGCCCGAGAGCTCCTTCTCCGATAAGCGAGGCTGACAGCTGCGGCTCGGGCAGCACCTACTATGTCATACCCACTCCAGGTCAGAAGGTGAAGGTCCTGGTAAGTCACCAGCAGCAAAGTGCCTATCTCCTTGTCATCGCTGTTTCATTTGGCTGACTTGTATTGTGTGCTTGTTTCAGCCCGGACCCGCACCTTCCCTCTACACGGCCACGTCAACCACTAAATCTCCCTCATCTCCTCAATCTGGCAGCACAGGGTTCAAAAAACCGTTCTTCAGGAGGCTTTTCAGCTTCGCGTCTGATCTATCAAAAGTGTCCAAAACCCCGAAATTCGCTTCAAAGACTAAGTTACGACGCCGTCATTCTTTAGACACGTCTGCGGGCGGTCATATACGACGGCGGTCGTGACGCTTGTATATGCCCTGAATGATTGATTTTGTACTGAATGCTCTACTGCTTTTACGCTTGTCTTGTTTCGATAGACTTTGGATACACTTAGGTTCATGGGTACACTTAGGTTCATGCATACACATGCACGCATATGCATCACCGTCGCATTGTACGATACTGACAGCATTGTAGCTCTAATTTTCTCACTCTTTACTTTGGGCATTCATGTTCTTAGCATCGCCTCATTTCTCATCTTACCCCTGTTGTCTCCTACGACCTTGATATACCTCCTGCATTCCTTCTAGCAGGGTCGCAATAACGATACTTCGTAACGTCGAACATGATCGTGATACCACAGACTGGTAAATACACATGTCATTCATTAATAAAGGAACATCCGCCACAAGGAAGCACATCAGCACGGAAAATCGTCAAATTAATGTCAAACTCGCAAACTCTCTTTGACACGCTAAACCACGACCCTAACCAATGGCCTTCCACCACACCACACTCTTTTTCACACTGAACGTGGGCGGACTCAAACTATTGCTCATTTTATATCATTGGTCTGATCAGGAGTTCCGAATCCGATCGTGATCTTGCGCAAGGGACATGCTGTTTCATAAAGGTCTAGAGACCGTTGACGAGGCTATCGAGAAGTACTATTATTAAAGGCATTCATGACGTTCCCCCTGCGGTTCCATAGATACCAAAGATGAATCGATGTCAGGTGGTGCGGATAAGGGATGTCTCCTCGGATGTTCGGAATGTCTGCCGCAAAGATCAAGCCATACAGGGGCGAATAGATCCTGCCGAGTACGAGTTCGTTGCGCGATTTGCTAGTCTCGGGCGTGTGGGGGAGATAGAACCGTTCCGTGAAACGGAGGATGCTCGATAAGACGGTGCAAGTTGAGGACGTGGTTCTGAACTGTGCAAGAAGTATGAGGACGCCGTGATGTCCGTATGTGCGTCTCACTTGAAAAGCGCCAGCATTGGGCGTGATCTAGAAACCGTCGGATGGTTGAATAATTGCCTGAAACGGGACCAGAATTCAGTGCTTTATACTTGTTCTTGTCACGGTGTGTTGAGCTCGAGGACTCTAAAGTCGTCGAGGACGATTTGAAATGAATTTCATCTCACTGTTCTTCGAAACCGAAATGGGGCCCGGATATCGCAACGTGTGGGATGTGTGCAAAACAACTGCAGCGGTTCGAAATGCAAAAAAAAACCCAACGTACCGCCTCGATCGAACCGCACAACCTTCGCAACAGCTTGAGTTGCCTGATCGTTATATCCCCTCAACGATCGAACGAAACGTTGACGGCTATGTATAACGCAGTACAATGCTCAGGGGCTCGGGGACCAATGGCTCTGTTGTCTGAGCCGCAATTTGTCCGTAATTAAATTTTGGCATGTGTGCTTCATGCTGGGTCATGCTAGAAGGGTCTGGAAAGACAAAGGATCTTGATTTCACTCACTGGCTCTACTCATCTACGTCATCCGAGTATTTTCGATGGCGTTCGGAACACTTCTGAGAGCTGAGTTTGCCCTCAACTTGTGGTTGGGTCTCGACACATACTTTGCGCCACATTTTCTTTGAAGCACCATGTCTACGGGTCAACTGATCTGAGTCAGTCTCTGTTACTTCCCACTGTGAATCAGATTCAAGATCGCTCTTACAACGTATTACTTCGGAACAATCAAGGCCAGAGAAAGTCACGTAGGACAGAACCCAGTCGACCTCAAACTTCCAGGATTGCCTTTTGGAGTGTGGAAGACCTAAAAAAAGTAATTAGGATGCTTCTGAAGTTCTGTTCCGCACCGTGGTGCACATGCTCTGCTCTTGTATACTCTGCGCATCCCAATGACGCAGATCGCGCCTTGGCATGATCTGTGCGCCTTGGATAGACAGCCTGAGTGAGCAGAGATGACTGCATATACTATGGTCCTCCACTGGCACGATCTGCTCGGCGGTGATATTTTCTTCGGTCCGGTCGTGACTGGTGAATAGCATGATCCAACGATCAGGCTCTCCCACGCTGATTCGTCACGGTACGGCGTAGGTTTAAACTCTTTGAATCAATTAGTACTATTAGCACTAACTTATCAATCTTAATTCTCTTCGTCAAAGCAGAAGAATCGACCATGACCCTCTCGGGGGACCTCAATTTCTGTTTCCCGGTGCGGGAGTTATCCAACGAACGCGTCAAGATAACTCCGTTCAAGGTAAGCCCAATCATCGTCTGATAAGCATCAAGCAACACTGATACTTGTAACTGACTCCAGGCATCAATTCATTCGTCCCCATTTTGTGCCATCGCGCCAGCTCACCCGGAGCTGTGGGCACACATGCCTGCTGGCCCATTCCAAACCGTACAGGATTTTGACACCGATTTTCTCCAAGCCATAGTCCATCCTGATCCAGGAATGGTGTTATTTGCCATCATAGATAAAACGAAACCATCATCTGTGGCAGATGAGGAAGGCGAACTGGCTGGGATCATGTCCTATATGAACTCTTCTTCTGTGAATCTGTGCACAGAAATAGGGTATATCGTTATCCTTCCCCCATTTCAAAGGACGCACGTCAATTCCAATGCTGTTGGGCTTCTTTTGCAGTATGCACTGGAATTACCATCACATGGCGGTCTGGGGTTGCGAAGAGTTCAGTGGCAATGCAGCTCCATGAACGCCCCTTCTATTCGCGCTGCCGAGCGACTAGGCTTCAAGAAGGAAGGAGTTATGAAATGGCATCGTGTATATCATAGAGGCAACGACACAGGCAAAGTACATAATGGCCGTGATTTCCCTCGAGGTAGTCATGGCGAACAAGACTATGCAAGGGACACGGTTATTCTTAGTCATTGTTGGGATGATTGGGAGCAGGGAGGGAGGGAGACGATACAAACAATAATGGATAGACGGCATGTAAGTAACCAAGCAGACAGGTTGCGCCCTCAACGCGCTCATGATTATATCTAGTGATACCCTCAAACCTTACCTGGCACCTCAGTTTCAAAGCAGATGATATCGCTGAAGGTTAGATTGTACCCCTAGAGTTAGCACACAGATAAATACAATGGCTGAATCACGGGCGAGCCGTCAAATTTCTTCTATTTAGACTAGAGATACAGATCAGCACGCAAGTCAAAAATCACTCCAATGTATGCGGTGTACTGATACCCTTTGTCGGACAATTCTATCTCATCTATAGCAAAGTTGTTCATACATCAGTCTTGTGTACGTGGTGGCTTCTGATAACGGTCGGAATCTCTAATAAGGAAGAGTAGCGACGCAGCTGTGATCACGATCGCCTGTAATAAACACATTATACATTGTGATAGTGGCGTGCAAATAAAGCTTACCGCATGGATATAGAACACCAACATCGGGACCTTCGAGATTGTACTGAATTGAAAAAAAAGAATGAGGTCAGGTGGGATGGAAAACCAATCGACTCACGCAGTGAAAATACTGCCCATGACGACAGGAGATAGGAAGACTCCGATACTCGACATCATCTCGATAGCAGCTAGAACCTCCCCTGTTCAAAGCGGTTTGTAAGTTGTCAATCGGATGTTTGCACCTCCAAAAATGCGTACCTTGTTTTAAGGGGTCGGCCGATGACACTACGAGACTTCGAAAGATGGGAGTGTGTGCTGCACTAAACCCAATGATAGTCACCGCTTCACATAACATCAACACAGATATTGCCGCATTTTAGTACCACCTCGCACCTGTGAGGTGTAAAATACGAGTCGACGTTGCAGCCGCCATGATATACGCAAGAGCATTGACGACCCAGGAGATGAAGGTGATATGGACATCGAGAAGGTCAGTCGATGTAGATACAACAGTGTCATCGCTGGTGCCCTGTTGGTCTTCGGGGAGGGCAGCCTTCTTGGCATAAATTGGATGCAATGCGCGAATCAGCGAGGGTATCATGTATGTAAGAGAGAACACAGCGCTCAAGCTTGATGTCGTTAACAGCATTCCGGTCTACATTACGAATGAGTGTGGGGCTCTGGTGAACGACAACCAGCATACCTGGGCAGGGTTGTAGCTGTACTTCGTTGTATACAACAACAGGAGAGATACCGGTGCATATGAATTCGCAAGCGTTGCGATGATGATATGAATCGCGCAATACACAACTCGCCAGTTCCGTCTGCCATCCGCGTTGCGGGTAGGAACCAGCTGTTTCAAAGGTTCGAACGCGACGGCTATCGCGGATATGAGGCGGTTCGATGAATTTTGACGAGTGTTTTTTTGCTGAGCGAGACGCTGGTGACGCAGTTCATTTCGTTTCTCTTCAGGAAATGATTCGGGGAGGAAAGCTGAGACGTAGACGAACATTGCCCCGAGGATGGAGATGGAGATGTAGTAAACGATTAGCGGGTCGTTGGTCTTGGTAGTAATAAGACCACCAATAGCAAAGGAGACTACCTGGCCTGCACATGTAGAATAAAAAAAGATCGTGACAAAACAAAAAAATAGTCCTTACCTAGAGTCGCCCATCCATTGATGGCACTCAAAACGGGTGTTCTCGAGTATCTAGTCAGTCCAAAGAGACGTGACTGCTAAAGGAGCACATTACCTGTCCTCAGCGCTGGAGACATCAACGGCATAGATGTTCACAAGGAACATCATAGTCAAGGTATTGCTAAACGTTTGTATGAAAAGGGCGGTGATCATAGTACTTGCTTCTAGCCATCCAGGCAAGTACTGGGAACAGACCAGAAGAGAATATCCAGAAAAGCTAATGGCAATTACGCCGAGGATGGCCGGTTTTCTTCCGAACCTGGAGCTAATATAGCTAATCCCACTGCATGCGACTATGGCTGTTGGACGTTAGGTTAGGCAAAAAAAATTCAGTAGCATCCGCACCTCCAAGCCCATCGAAGATTACCAATGCTGAAATGACTGCAGCGTATGTTTTCTCCACCTCTGGAACTGCGCATAGTTCTTTAGAAATCTGCCCGTCTGGTGGTAAGTCTCCATTGGCCGTAAGCCACAGCCGACAAACGACTGATTGAACAACCCCCAATAATGTAGTGGAAGGAAGGGTCGCAGTAAGTCGTGTCGCGATAGCTAGCGGAATTAAAAGCGTCAATGGGGAAAATTTGCGTCCACTGTGTGACAACGCATACTGCCGCTCTGGAAGGAGCGGGGCACGCTCACTGGCAGAAGACGCATTGGTTGACGATACATCTTGGATACTTGCCATGGACGTTCAGAACAGGTATTGGCGCGATCGCAACGAAAGTCTAAAGCCAGGCAAGCCTTATTCGAATGCACGTCGAACGACGTAATACCAACACGCGTGCAATGTCAGCGATGCACTCACATCCGTGCGCATACCGCGCAAGTGCCACGTTCGCAGTTCATTAATGTGAATCATGCACATGTTTGGGACTAAGTATAAGTTTGCTCGTGAGAAGCCGTGACGGACTCAGCCTGCAGGGGAATAGTTATCCCTACCTAGTTGAACCGCAAATCCAATCGAGAGGCGGGCCACTCGCGGGAGACCTAGATCTAGATTCTCTGCCTTGCTCCTGAGTCCTTCGAAACACTTGTCAACCTGTCATGGTCTCCAAGCCAGTTCAGCAGTACTGTCGAAGTTTCCGAGTTTCCCTTTCTCATTCATGTCCAACTCGGAATTTAATGCTCCTCAGGACGCCATTATGAGTCAAGAAGTTGAGGAATCACCAGGCCACTTCGGACTGAGTTGCTGAGGGAAGGTCAAGGAACAGTTGACTTTGCCGGGTTTTACGGGGTAATAGAAGAAATCAGATTCAGAAGTGTGCCCTGAAATTTATTTATCAATATTGTAATTAACTTTTTGGGCATCAAACAGATCTTCTTAAGGTTAAACATTTTCCTACCTCTACTCGTGCAGATTTCCCTACTATAAGTTTCAAGACTTCGGTAGATCAATGGCAGCCTGAGTTTGACCTGTTCGAGATTTCCTCCCTCTAGTACTCCAAGATCTCTGGACCATTGCTCGAGCGGCAGTGAAATTTGTTCAGAAGCAAGCACGTTGACTCCACTCAGCATCAAACCTACAGTCTTAGTCTACTCATCCCCCCTATCCAGACCCAATAGAATGAAGATAATCGTTCCTTCTAGTCTACTAGCAACTCGCGCGTCGTGCCATCGATCATACTGCACCAATGCGAAAGCAGAAACACGACTCACTGTAGTTTGAGTCACTGTCGCGACATGCTAGAGTGCTCACTCATGAACATATTCCAAAGAGCAACTACCACACCAGTGAGTCATGTGGTTAAATCAGGGACGCAAACTACTCATACTCACAATCCTTATGCATTTCTTATGAGGGCAGCATTTTGCGGCGGTCTCGCAAAAAAAAGGACAATTGTCACTGTCAGGGTCACGGGCAAGTATTGATGCTGCAGACATTGATGCTGCAGATATTGATGCTGTCAAAGCAGCAATAACGGCGAGGATAAAGGAGAAACGCATTGCAATTGTTTGTGAGGATGTGATATGGGATCAAAAAAATAAAATAAGGGGACAGTAGGAAGACAGCTTACTCTTATGTGCTAAACATCGTTCGTCATGGCGATGGAGGAAGAACCTGTCCACCTGAAATCCCCTTTCAAACAGATGATGTCTGCAATGCCAGCAGATTCTCACCTAAAATCTACCTTGTGCAGCAAGGTTTATTGGCAATTTAGCGTGGAGCAGAATATCACCGTGCGACGCAAGGTCAATGCCAGGGCCCAACTCGAATCCGCTGTCGGGAATCACATCCACTAGCAGCCACTAGCTTCTTCCTGCGAAAAATTCGACGTCAGGCCGAGTACATACATTCAAGTTGTTTCTGCCTCAGTACGAAGAAACGACTGTCTTCCTTCGATTGGTCTGGCTAGGGGAGACTACGTTTCAGCAGCAGAGGAGGAAGACGAACTGGCTGGGGTCATGTCCTATAAATATGAACTCTTCTTCTGTGAACCTATGCAAATAGAGTATCATACCCTATTTCTGACCAGCGACTCGGGTAAAGGCAAAGTACATAATGGCCGTGGGCACGGTAGTCAATTCATAGCGAACAACATTATGGAAGGGATACCGTTGTTCTCAGTCATGGAAGCCAGAGATGCAGATCAACACGTGAGGTGAAAGTTACCATGCATTGTGGTGTGATGCCACAATTTTATCCGATCAATAGCAAATTTGTCGGCAGTTCATGCATTTCTAATCTTGTGTACATGGTGGCTTTTGATGGCGGTCGGAATCTCTGATGAGGAAGAGTAGCGATGCAGCTGCGATCACAATTGCCTGTGATGATGTTGAACAGATATACGTCGTGTACAATGGTGTGCAACGAAAGCTTACCGCATGGATATAGAATACCAACATCGGGTGCGTCGAGATTGTGCTGAATTGAAGAAAAGAATGAGACAGGTAGTTTAGAAAACCAATTGACTCACGCAGTAAAAATACTGCCCATGACGATAGGAGATAGGAAGACTCCGATGCCTGACACGATTTCCATAGCAGCTAGAACCTCTCCTGTTCAAAGCGGTTTGTGAGTTGTCAATCGAATGTTTGCACCTCCAGAAATGCGTACCTTGTGTTAAGGGGTCGACCGATGACACCACAAGACTTCGAAAGATGGGATTATGTGCTGCACCAAACCTAATGCCGGTCGCCGCTTCACATAACATTAACAACGACATCGCCGCCTTTTAGCATCACCTCGCACCTATGAGATGTAAAACGCGGGTCGGCGTCGCAGCCGCCATGATATATGCAACAGCATCGACGACCCAGGAGACGACGGCGATATGAACATCGAGAAGGTCCGTGCCCTGTTGGTCTGCGGGGAGGGCAACCTTCTTGGCATAAATTGGACGCAATACGCGAACCAACGAGGGTACCATGTATGTAAGAGAGAACACAGCGCTCAAGCTCCGTGTCGTTAACAGCATTCCGGTCTACATCACGTATGAGTGTGGAGCTCTGGTGAACGACAATATTTCAACCTACCTGGGCAGGGTCATAGCTGTACTTCGTTGTGTATAGCAACAGAAGGGCTACCATTGCATACGGTTCCGCAACCTTCGCGATGATGATATGAATCGCGCAATACACAACTCGCCAGTTCCGTCTGCCATCCGCGTTGCGGGTAGGAACCAGCTGTTTCAAAGGTTCGAATGCAACGGCCATAGTAGATATGAGGCGGTTCGATGAATTTTGACGACCGCTTTCTTCTATATTCTGCTGAGCGAGGCGCCGGCGACGCAGTTCATTCCGTTTCTCTTCAGGAAATGATTCGGGGAGGAAAGCTGAGACATAGACGAATATCACCCCGAGGATGGAGATCGAGATGTAGTAAACGATTAGCGGGTCGTTGGTTTTGGTAGTAATAAGACCACCAATAGTAAATGAGACTGCTTGGCCTGTACATGTGGATGTAAAAAGATTGTGTCGATCTAGAGAATGGTGCTTACCTAGCGTAGCCCATCCATTGATGGCACTCAACATGGGTGTTCTCGAGTATCTAGTCAGTTCACAGTCAAGTGATTACTACAGAAGCACATTACCTGTCATTAGCGCTGGAGATATCAACGGTATAGACGTTCACAATGAACGCCATATGGCTCAATGTTCGCACGAAGACGGAGGCGATCAGAGTACTTGCTCCTAGCCCTCCAGGCAGGTACTGGGAGCAGACCAGAAGAGAATGTCCAACAAATTCAAAGGCAACTACGCCGAGGATAACCGGTTTTCTTCCCAACCTGGAGCTAATATAGCTAATCCCGCTGCATGCGACTATGGCTGTTGGACGTTAGGTTAGGAAGAAAATTCAGTAGTATCCGCACCTCCAAGCCCGTTGAGGATTGCCGAGGCTGACATGACTGTGGTGTATGCTTTCTCCACCTCTGGAACTGCGCATAGTTCTTTAGATATCTGTCCGTCTGGTGGTAATTTGGTATTTGCTGTAAGCCACAGCCGACAAACGACTGATTGAACAATTCCCAAGAATGTCGATGAAGGAAGGGTCGCAGCAACTCTTGTCGCAATGACTAGCGGAATTAGAAGCGTCAATGGGGAGATTTGGCGCCCAATGTGTGGCAATGCATGCTGCTGTTCTGGAAGGAGCGGGGCACGCTCAGAGGGACTTGGTTCACGATAGTACATCTTGAATGCTTACTATGAATGTTCAAACCAGGTGTATATGCCGCATTGCTGGCCTCGCGTTATCTTCGAGTTACATTAAAAAATACTGCGAGTCTGAAACCAGACGGTCCAGACCAGCCTTATTAGTTTGATGTCCCGTTGAACGACGCAACACATGAAATGCGCAGCCACGTCCGTGCACATACTGCCGCAGGTGCCACATCATCGCATTTCAATGCGAATCAGTACTAGTAGTATGCAAAGTGTAGATTTGCTCGTGAGAAACGGACTACGGAGAAAGAATGTTAACAAGTTATTCCTACCTTATATAGTGAAACTACAAATCCAATCGAAACGTGAGGCCACTCGACTTGCGCCTATAGGCCATCAACCCGCCATGGTCTTGAAGCTACTTCAGCAGTCGAGGTTTCCTTGTTGTCCTTTCCCATTCATGTCCGACTCGGAGCTTCCTACTCCTCACGACGCCATGATGAGCCAAAAAGCTGAGGAATCACCAGGTCGCCACTTCGGACTGAGTTGTTGGGGAAGGTCAAGAAACGGTTGACTTCTGTCAGGTGATAGGAGATATCATCAGAAGTGTACCCTGAAATATATTTATCGATGTACTCACACAAATTTTCAGGCATTGACACAAGAGGTCACAACTGGTCTAAGTTCTAGATGACAGACCAACGAGCCTGCCAACGTCGAAACCGAAAATTCGTTTAACGACACCAAAAGTCCTACCTCTCGTGCAAATTTCCCGCCTAGAATTCGGTAACAGTGGCAGCTGAGTACATCGTTTTCAAGCACGGAAGTATAAATTTTATACGTACTCAAACACCACAGCAAATATTAGAAATACCCAATCAACAATGATAATACTAATTTAACTTGGGTCCTGTCCAACGTCACATTCATTCATCGGGTAACTGCAATACGCTGTTTGCACGAGAAAGAGTCTGTCTTGGAAGTAGTGTCAAGTTCATATGCGACGAGTTTCGCGAACGTGGGTTGATAGAAGAAACCGAAGATACGCTGTTCCTTCCGGCGTCGTCGGGAGCGGTGGCAGTTATGGGTGAGGGAGCGCGAGAGTGAGTGTGTGATGTAGAAGTAGACGTACTAAACCCGTCTGAAGTATTATAATGGGGAGGAGGTGAGCGTGTTGATGCTTGAGAGTATCGGGTTGGTGGGGGATGGAGCGAGGTAGTGATGGGAATCAAACGCGGACGTGATGATGGTGTCGAGGAGGAGACAAGGCGGCGCAGAGGTCGTAATATGGACGGAGGGAGAAAAGAGGAAGGCGACGGAGGACCTGATATCGCCACTCCTTCTTCCATCGCCCCATGCGAGTCACGTTTAAACGAGCCACGTAAGATGCGTCTCCGAGCAACGCGTAATGAATGCCGTAGCCGGAAGACGATGCAGCTCACCACAATAAGGACGGTGATATAGAAGAGCATGGTGATGAGTGAAAATCCCAGAGATTCGCGGGTCAATGATGTCGGCAGGTGTGGGGAAACATGGTCTTCCAACACATCAAGATTCCAGAACGGTCGAATGGGTTTGATAGGAGGGTTGGGTGTACTAGCAGGAATACCGTCGATAGGATCAGCAAGCGGCCTGCTGCTGCTTGAGGATGGTTTTATTTCCTTGCTTGCTTCCAACACCATTTTACCCAGCGTCCAACTAATGGCGATGTCTCCCACGGAGTCGGCAGACTGAAACACAGGTCTTCCCAGACCCTTCGTTTCAGCTTGGTGCGCCACTTGCTCACCGCTCGTGGTGGAGTTTCCTCCTGGGTCAACTATCCGAGGAATCCCAATTCCTTCATGTAGCACATTGGCTATCCAAGCGGCCTTGAAACACTGCATCCGCAACCTCGGAAGCTCCACGTTCCTACCCCACTTCCCAACCTCCATGACCTCTCCGTTTTTCATAACTTCCCCATCACCACCTTGTATACCCTGCGCTCTCGACAGATCGTGTTCGTTGACTATATCGCTCCAATCCCTCCCGCAGAACTCTGTCGCAGCGCGCTCATACTGTACATAATCATACGGGCCGCCGAGCCCGAAGACATGTTCAGATGAATACCAGTATTCAGAGACACCGATGAAGTGGGAGGAAGCAAAGTTGATCGCAGGAACATGCACCCCATTAAAAAGGCATGGAGCAGTATCGCAAGGCGCGTTTTTGTTGAGGAGAGAAGCAGTACGATCCAGACATTGGGTGAAAGAGCCTGTCCCAGCGAGTGTATGCGTTGAATGTGACCCATCAATTCGAGGAAGTATCTCGGAAAGCGTCAGGTCCTTTGGGAGGCACGGGTCAGGTATGGATTGAGATTCTGAGGTCTCCAGCACAGTCTCTTTGAAACTCTCGACGGTCTTTGCCACATATCGTTCTCGTGCCTGATTGGTGCCATAGCCTAACCAGGTAGTGACGAATACCGAGTGGTTGACTTCGTCTCCGCCAAGTAATCGTAACCGGACATCGACAAGGTTCAGCTTGTCTCCCGACAGCTTATCAGATGGCTCAAAGGCTATCTGAGTGGAAGCGCCTCCCATGTCCAGAAATCCGTAGGTCGTCTTCTTATCCTTTCCGTAAAACCCATCCATGAGATAGTTCACTGCTATCCATCCATACAAGCCTTCCTCCTCGCCAGTAATAATTTGCACGCTGGACCCACACGGACCGTCTTTCGACTCGTCATCTATCCGGAAGCTCGAGGCGCTTTTGAGATACTTGCATGCGGCACTGAGCACCCGCGCTTGTTGCACCGCTGTCAAGAGGCGCATACCAGCTGTAGCAAGGAGGAAAATGGGAGTTTCAGACTCGAGGGAAGGAGGTATTTGAGAACGTGCATGTTTAAGTAGAGGTGCAAGGTATTCGGATACACCCTCTGGGTTGTCGGCGAATGTAGACAGGCCTGCATGACAGAATTAGTTGAATGACACGAGCAGAGTAAGAATCAAACATGTACCTGGTTCAACCTTCATTATCCAATCCTCTCCTTCCTGAACACCCTTCTCTACCTTGGGTAATTTATCCCGTACATCATCCCCCTGCTCGCTAAGCACCACATCGGGATCCTTCCAGCTATATATCTGAAGCCTTGAACCTGATGAGCCAGCGTCGATAACTATTCCGAAGCGGCGCACGGCAAGCCAAGGATCAGAGGATGTCGTAGGTGGCATATACGAGGCCCAGCGGTAAAGCAATTAATGCTCCAACTCCACAAGGACGCACAGGACCTATTGAACAACAAGGATATTTGGACGATGTACAGATTTGACCTCAGCGCTCTGCAGCCAATGCGTGTGGGACCTGGGAGGCTTCCACGTTTACAATCAAATGATGGACCAATTTAGAAGTTTAAGCTTCCCAGTGGATAGATAACGAACCCGTTAGACAGAGACTTTCGGCCGAATGAACCTGATTCTGGATTTTATCATGCCTGAGGCCTGAGGCCTGATATTGCTCTGATACTTCACGATCATCCCTGGCGAAGAACGAATTTCAAAAGGAATCTTAACAACCAACAGTCCTGGCTCCCCCTCAAGTTGGCCGCCCATCCTCATCATCGTGCTCGCCTATCTTCTCGTTCTTTGGCGCTCTGCAGCGTCCAATGATTCCCTCCTCTTCGTGTGCCACCATGATCTCCCAGGAGATTCAATGATAACGTTCATCGTCTTCGACGTGACTCACAGTTACGCGCGCATGGCGCAATACTCATCGATTCAAGCTGAAGTTATAACATCTACTTTGGATCCATCCTCGAAGCTTGAAACAGATCTTACATGCCCAGGACAATCTGGAAAATTCTAACCGTGTTCTGAATCTGCTTTTTCTCTCGCGTTCACGATAAATTCGAATGGTGTCCTGGCAGAGCCCCAAAGTAGTTGACTAGCAGGGTTTCTTCAAATCGCCAAAGCGCTCAATTGTTCGCTGGTCTCTGAGGCCTGATTGACAGATCGAGGTTCACCGAATTCAGTTTGCTTGTCAAAGGAAATGCTCGAAAGCACTTTTGGAGCGCTTAATCTTATGGCCTGACTACACTTCCCTACCACTTTCCCATCAGCGATTCACCAGTGACCACCTGTCCGATGGCGGCCCAAAAAGCCTCATGTCCAAGGTATCAAGTATTTGATGAATCGAAGAAAAACGCTAGCGCGAGCGCTTCCGATTTGCCGTTCCGTTTGATTTATGTCACGTAATTACCGGTGCTTCATTTTCCTTTTGCCACTTGGCACCGCGGCTTAAACTCTCTTTAACATCAAGTCATGCTGGCGGGCGTTCTGTTGTTCGCTCTTCCCTTTTGCAGCGCAGAGTCAGCATCCAGTTTTGCAGGATCAACAGTTGTTGCATCTTATCCTCCCCCTGGTGCCACCAACACTGCCATTGACTCTTACTTCCCGGATGCATCGCAAATTGGTTACGCAGGTTCAACGCCTAGTGTGTTATGATACTGATTTCAGTTCATACCTGTGTTCTAATCAAGTTTTCCAGCTGGTGCTGAACCTGAGGCAATCGCCACTGCCATTCCCTTCTCTAAGGTCGAAAGCGCGTTTCCCTTGTCAAGACCCAATTCGAAAGACGGTGCAGATATTGCTTTCAACGTAATGCGTCACTGGGGCAACTTGTCGCCCATGTACTCTGTGGAGTCGTTTGGTCTTCCTGATGCGTCTCCTGTCATCCCAGAAGGATGTGGTCTCAACGCAGTACATCTCTTGATGCGCCACGGCGCTCGTTATCCAACCTCTGATTCCGGACCATCTGCGTTCGCCGCTGCAATATATTCTGCTGCATCGAAAAACGGCTTCAGCGTCACAGGTGATTTGGAATTCCTGGCAACCTGGACATACAAGCTGGGCGCGGAGATTTTGACACCTTTTGGCCGCGAAGCGCTGTACGTTCGCTCTCTTTGACGATACTTCTTCTGACGCACCCTTCCATCAGATTTAGCCATGGGGTTGCCTTCCGCTACAGATATGGCGAGTTACTCAATGCTTTCACGGACCTGCCAGTCTTCCGTACTACTTCTCAAGGTTTGCATGCATTTAACATTTGTTTTATAATACGCCCTGATGGTTTGTTTGTGGCGCATAGATCGCATGGTGGATTCTGCGTGAGTACTCATTCATCTTTTTGCGTGTGTTGTGTCTGATGATGCTGAGCAGCCTAAACTTTGCTGCAGGCTTTTTTGAGGTCGGAACTTACCAGACCGACTACCACCAGGAGATCATCATCGAGGCAGACAACTTCAACAATACCCTCGCTCCTTACTATGTGTGCCCCAACTCCAATACGGATGATATCGGTCACTTTGGTAGCACTCAGGCCGATGCATGGGCGAATGTCTATCTCCAAGACGCTCGAATACGCTTGCAGTCAATGATTCAAGGATTCAATTTGACCATCTCAGACTTGGTTGATATGCAGCAGATGTGCGCCTACGAGGTGATCATATCATCCATAAAATCTTTGTGAAAATTTTCTGACGTTCTGCAGACTGTAGCCCTCGGTTTTTCCAAGTTTTGCGACCTCTTCACTGAGGAAGAATGGGAAGGATACGAGTATTACGCCGGTACGTTCTCTCAAATGATACTTGCTAATTTGGCGGTGATGTGTATTTGCAGATCTTGGTAAGCATATTGAGTGGTAAACATGCGGCCCGAGCGACCACTTACTTCGTTTCAAACAAGGTTTCTGGTACAGCAATGGACCAGGTAATCCAACAGCAGCAGCGCAGGGCCTCGGCTATGTCCAAGAACTAGTGGCACGCCTCACTCAAACTCCCATCGCTGTGTGGAACAGCAGTACCAACAGCACTCTCGACTCGAGCAAAATCACATTCCCTCTTAATCAACCTATATATGTGGATGCTACCCACGACGTAGCCATTGCCAGCAGTATGTTACCGCTTCCTCTTTGACAAGACTATACTAACGGAGCGCTCAGTCATCACTGCCCTGAACTTTACCACTCTAGCTACGACTGGTCCTCTGCCAACCGACCATATCCCTCCTAATCGTGTGCGCAGTCTTATGAAACATTTCCTTACCTCAATTTCTGACCAGTCACCAGTCTTACATTGCTAGCCAGATTGCACCTTTTGCCAGCCAGCTTGTCGCCCAGGTTCTCAGCTGCCCAGCCTCGGGGGAGCCCACACACATCCGGTTCATTCTGAATGATGGAGTGGTACCATTGACGGGTATCCATGGCTGCACGGAAGATTCGAACGGTCTCTGCGCGCTACCCAGTTTCATCAGCGGAATGCATGAACGAATTGGGCAAATTAACTTTGCGCATGATTGCTTCGCCGATTACACCATGCCCAACCCTGACAACTTAATTGATGGAAGATACCCTGGTTAAAAGGACATGTGATATTCGGGTTGTTGTGAAGTACATTGTAAGCTTACTTACCTTGTGCACGTCGCATCGACCTTGATATGGTTTGCTCGCCTTATATACACGCATCTCATATCGATGTATCTAATCTCTTACCTTACCGCTGAATCCACACGCTCGTTAACGCTGCCTCTTGTTGGATCGTCCGTTAGCTGACGTGGACGATTTCCATCCATCCATACTCACAAAATTGATGTTGCGTTGTCTACTAGAGAATCCAGAGCGAGAACCATGTGGCAGTTAAAGAAGATCATAAAGTCTCCAATACGACAATACCACGGTCGGCTGTATTGCGCACATCACTCTGAGCGGTTTGTTATGTCCAAGCAAGGGTGACTGACCTGACTCGACAGCGCTACTTGGAGTTTTTCATCGTCATCTCCAGCTTTGCATGTAGGGCGCCATCGCCGTCTACATATATAGTATTGCTACAGCGTCAGTCAGTTCAAGAACAGTCAGAAAAGTTAAAACACGTTTGCAGATAAAAACAACGGCTTAGATCCTGCGACACGAATCGAGCTCAGGAGGCTTAAGCTTACACAAGATTACAATAGACTGTTCGAGGAAAGCCTGATCAAGGGGCAAGGGGCCAAAAAGGGTCTGAATGATCCATATATACAAAGTGTCAATGCCGACCTGGGATGGGCAGAAAAGTGACGATGTCCTTGTATCACGCAAACAGCTCCCGTAACTACATCCGTTCTACTTCCAAACGGGCTCAACCTTACATAACCAAAATGATCCTTGAGATTCCTCATCGAGATATAGTAGCCTTGTGAGGCCGCGAACGCGTCCCACCTCCTACACCGCCTTTATCTTTCTCTTTACCCTTGGCCTTCAGATCCACCCCCCACAGCCGCGCCTGCGCCGCCCTCAGGCGGAGCAAGTCAAATACCCAATCCGTTTCCTGCGCTTTTGCTGCACCGCGCTCATGCAGCCTTTCTTCCTCCGTGGGAGAGAGGAGAGCAGCTGTAGTGCGCTCACCCGACCGCCACAAGAGTAGCTGCTGGATTGCCTCGGGGAGAAGAATGTTCACGCAGTACTGTGGGTGAAGAACAATTTCTAATAGGTGAGGATGGGTTTGCAAAGCAGAAGACGCACATCAAGTTTGTCAAGGGTCGTTAATGTTTCATACTCCTGTGAGCCTACCGGTCGCTGTTGGTCGCGTACAGAGACAGGGCCCTCAACCTGTATGAACGATGAACGACCACGGGCAACGGGGGTAATGTAACTAGCCTACCTCCTCAGCGTGCGGCAGGTCTGAGTTACCGCCAGAATCTGACTGTAATCAAAGATGAACATATGTTTTCGAAACTGAGGAGACTGAGATGGGTCCTACTTGGTCTGGAATATCCTCCTTGAGCGCAGAAGGCTGATCAGGCAATGGTGCAGATGGCAAGTCATTCGCCTCCCGCTCTGAGGAATCGTCAGCCTATGCAAAAGAGCCATCAACAAAAAAAACGCAAAAATAAGTACAAAGAGCCAACCTGGTTGGGCCTGTCAACTATTATTGCATCCTCATCAATCTGATTGCCAATATCACTGGGAGGTATGGGCTGAGACAGAACATCGGGGCTTGCGCTGTCAGAAGTTGGAGATATCTCGTCTGCCAGCTTGTTAAGTGACATCGCACTGGGGTCGTCAACCTGACTGCGAATGTTACTGGGAGGTAGGGGCTGAGACATGTCATGGTGACCCGCGATGTCAGAAGTTGCCTCGTCTGCCTTTTCGGGAGTAGGCTTGTCAACTGCCATGGCACTGGTGTCATTGACCTGATTGCCAATGTCACTAGGAGGTATGGGCTGAGATATGTCTTGACCCGCGGTGTCGGAAGTTGCAGTTATCTCGCTTCCGGCGCCAGCCTCTGCCAACCCATCACCATCGGCTGCTACAGCAGATGCGCAGGGTGTCTTCTCTTGCCCCGGCGGTAGTACCGCGTCTCCTTGGGGCTTAATTTCTACATTGGCTCTACAGGCATACCCTTCGCCAAGTGCCCACCGTGCAAGCAGTTTTTGCGACCGCTTTACCTCGTTCGGGTCCAGACCTCCTCTCACCGCCGCCCGCTTCATGAGATTGGATCTAGCTGCACCCCCCCGCATGAAAGCCTCGTGGCTCTTGCTGGCCGGAGCGTACTTCCCTTGTAAGATAGCTTTCAAGACAGGCTTCACGTACGCCAGCTGTGCATGCATCGACAAGTCAGCAAAATCGTCCGCGTCAGGAGGTGGGTCGGACAACTGTGGACTGGGGCTCCGCTTCCTGTCTTCCTGTTCATCCTCCGAGTCTGGTGTCTCAGTGTCCTGGACGGCACTTTCAAACTCGCCCAGGTCACACATAACGAAGCCTCGTTCCTCAGAGGTCCAGAATTTATCCCGGGTAAGGTTATACTCCCGGTCGTCCAGAAACTTGGCCCGGTAGCGCTCCTTCCCGCCCGGTTTGGTTGGCGGAACGTATGATATAAGCTGCGCGGGCCAGTACTTGTTACTTCTCGTTCGTAGAGCCTGCGCCAGAACAAGCTCGCCCGGTATTTGGAGCATCGGGTCTGGAGGCGGAGGAGACCAAGCGCGGTCTGTGAGAACCTCAAACTCAGCATGAGGTGTGACCTTGACCTTCTTGGTTGAACGCAGGTCATCTACATCCTCTTCTTCTGAGGAAAACGTCCCGCCAGTGTAAGCGGAAATCATCTCGGGCATGCCATCACGCTTGAGCCCATCTGCATCCTCCATAGCTTTCACTGCTGCTTCCCATCTCTCGCAAATGTCCGTCTTGGCTTTCTTACGAGGGGAGGGGTTTGAGGGTTCAGCTTTAGTGAGAGACGAGACCTGGAAGGTTGCTCGGGTGAAAAGCTTTTCGCCAGATACATTATGAATAGGCTGGATATTGTATTCGGAGGGAGACGAAATTGTCGAAGGTTCTCGAGACGATGCCAGGTCACCAAAGAGGGTCACACGAAGCGGATCCTTTTGTACGACCTGACCATTTCCTTGTATGAATTGATAACTTCCAGCAGGTAAGGCAATGCTCACCCTGGCAGGCCACCACATACGTTCTTCCAGGAACTCGATATCGTCATCATGTGGAACCGAGGCGATAAGGACTCCCAAGTAATTCACGAGTACCCAGACTAAAGTGTCAACGTCGCCGAAGCCATGCCCATTACCCTGGTCAGATAATTTTGCTTTGTCCGCCTTCCTTTTCCTTGGGGAAGTTTGGCTCGTGGGCTGTGAGAAGCTAGAACTGGGTGCTCCGAGGGAGCGCATGGAGCCACCCCTAGCCCTACGAAGCTTCTGAGGTGGTGGGGTGGCTTGACTGATTATGGAAGGTGGGGGAAGATCCATAGTTGAGACAAACGGACTTGTTGGGACGCTCGAAAATGGAGAGGGCGACAGGGTTGTGAGAGTGCTTACTGTGCCTTCCCTATCCGAAAAAGAAGAAGGGGCCTTGCGTTTTTTTGAATGCACAGATGGTTGGGGTTGGGAGCGTGAGGGTGTGACAGGCTTGGGTTTAGGCGTGCGCTTGGGTTTAGGCGTGCGCTTTGGTTTGGGCTGATACTTAGAGGATGGTGACGGGCTGTCCGTCTGCTTTAGCGGCGAAGCGCGGAATTTTCCCTTGGCATTATAGCGGAATTTGACATTGGGCTGCCTACGTGATGCAGGCTCTCCAAATGAGTCGGAGGGCTCGGGCTCGGGCTCATCGTCGGAGCGACCTGGCGAACTGAGGAGCTGGTCTGCAAATACAGCGGAAGCCCTCCTTGCGGCCCTACGAGTCGGAAGAACGCGCTCAGACAGCAGCGGGGAAGTACTCGTAGTTGCCATAAGGTCACGAAAGTCACTGGCCAACGATATGCGGCGCCGAAGGGACTGTGGAACAGGTTTCAATCAGAAAAGTGGGGACACGCCAGCTGCACAGTAAATGTACCTACAACCAATATTTGTCTTCCGGTTCTGTGGTAGGTACAGCAAGCACCCTTGAAATGACTGTCATGAATCAGCAAACTCTGTCAACTCTTGCATTAACGGGGCGCGGTCTGTCACACAGGTTGTTACCCATGTCACGTCACACGACCCTAAGTACTATTGATCAATGGATACGTATTAGCTTCGAGTCGAAAATTGTGATGAGTCGGTATCGATGACGCGCCAGATCGTCTTTTGACGCAATCATTAACATGTTGATCTTAGTATGCGTTGCAAGCGACTTTGCGCGTTGCAGCATTTTGCAGGACAAACGTGAGATGCTCGTGTAGCTCCGTGGAGCGGACGGTTCCAAATAACTATGTACTACTATGTAAACTGGACTTGGCAGTCTTTCACTGCTATAACCTCTGACTTTCAGTACACCGTCCTTCGCCGTATGATTCACCATTCGTCTGAGGTCTCCATTCTGCTGCCACGTTCGCTCGTACTAGGTGACGATCCGAGTCGCCATGTTCGGATCTGGATCAAGTACATATAGATTCTGCACGTGTGACTCGTGAGTTCGCCAGGGGGTCATCAAAGATCAAGGCAGTGAATGGTATCTCGGCGTTCTTGACCTGATTACAACGGTCAAAGAGTCGCGTGACGAGAACAGAAAACACACCTGCTTAAGCTTTGAACTTTCTCTTGGAACTCAGCTCTGTCGTCGACATCTGCGACCCCAGAATCTCCCGTGTTAAATACTCTTTCAGTGAGTTCCTTGTATACCTGATCTAAAATGCCCTTCTAGAGTCGTGAAACATCCGCCTAGTGTGCTGGAGTGGAAAACAAAGTCTATCTCCGTGCTCTGCAACACTCTCAGTTAAAATAGCTCAGAGGAAGGAAAGGATGTACTTAACCGCGACAAGGACTTTTACTGTATGCATAGTGCCTTCGCCTGTCTCAGAAACACAATATTAGGAGGGACAGGTAACGAAATGAACGAATGCGCATGTCTGATCTTCCCTGCCGACTGAATCCCATTGTTCGAGTGGCCGCAGTGTTCGCAGCAGAAACTCATCACAATCACTTCCCGGAAGAACGGGATGGATGTGAGCATCACTCGGGTTACTCCCTGACAAACGTGAATATTATATACTAGCCACCGCAATTAATGTTGGTGACCGCACCTGCTCCCCACACTGCATGCAAAGAGACTCGATCTCCTCGAGTGGTCTGGCGCCAATATTTCTTCATCTCCCGCATGGGTTTTATCAACAACATCTGGGTGCACGAGCAGTCGTCGCTCAATGTGGGAGGTGAGCGACGACGGGAGAAAAATACCCAGCAAAGATAGGGGCCCAATGTGTAAACCTTTGAGGCTGATTCGCATGATGATCTCGACCAGCGTCGCGAATTGATTAAACAAGGAAGTAACGCGAAGGACTAGTCTAGCTAACCCGATAAAATTTAAAAGGTTAGATCACAATCCGTAGTATTCAATTGTGACACTACGTAAGTAGCGCCAATACATAGTGTATCGCAATCTCGCGTTCGAAACAAATCATCATAAATATTGTGCAAACGTCTATCATGGTGACAGACTCATTAGAACTAGTCCTCCGAATTCGTATCATCGTCATCAGAATAATCAGAATATTCGCCCCCGCAACTGGCACAACAGCAGCGTCCATTGAAGGGGTCCGTGAGGGGCACCGAGTGCCCATCCCAGTCAACGTCTGCAACCACTTCCCTAAGGAGCTGCACCCCATCGTTCATCAAATTGTAGCATTTGGCTAGTCGGAGTCTGTGTATACCGATACCGTGTTTGGCTCGCTTTATGACAATGTCCCGAAGTGCTTGAGGTTCATCACATGCGAAGTCGATATTGTCGAGTTCAAGAGCATGGAGCGAAGGATATATTATATCCGAGCTCTGCGCGCCTTCGCTCTGGAGCGCAGCGATCAAGCCTCCAACTCCAATAGAGGCGCTCTTCAAATGGATACTTTCGAGTTCCAGAAGGTCAGCGGACCCTGCGTGCCAGAAATTTTCTGTGAGATGAAGGTAGGATGACACAAACAAACTTTGAATTTTGCGATGCGGGACCATCCGACACATGTCAAATACGATGGTTGGGTTTGTGGTGGAGGTGTCACGTTCGAATTGAATCGAGAGTGATATATCACCGTCACGAGTCTTCCACAAATCCTCAGATTTGAACGTCATTGAAGTGCTGAATTGGACCCGGAATGTTTGGAACGTAAGGCTGACACCCAGGGACCGCATGACAGGACCAGATTCGTCAGGGTTCTTGTATATGACCGAAAATAGATTAGAAAAGCCTTCAGGGCTTTCACTTTGTGCGAGGTTTAGAGCAATCCCGACATCGACGGGAAGGACTAGATGTGAGAAGAGAGATACAGCGGTTGGGATGGTGCAGGCATCCAGCGCTATATTTTTCAATTGAGTGAGTGGGACATGATCGAAGAGCTCTGTGTCCCCGGAATTTCTGCACGGCAGCTCAAGCATAAGCAGCTCCAAGCCAGGCATACGTCTGAGAGCTGACAGGAGCTGCGACAGAGTAGGATAAGAGGAAGATCCTATTCGTCTGAGAGCTAGAGTTCGAAGTCCGCTGAAAATACACGATGTCCAACTGAAGGTGCATTGCATAAGCTCGACGCTCCGAAGTTGAGGTGCTCGTCCTTGAAAAATGGCGTCTGATATGGGCTTGACGATTCCTAGGTGACGCCCCTCCATGACCGAGAATTTAAATATTTGAAGCAACGGTGCGGGCTGTGATGATAAGCAGTGGAAAATGCGATTAACATCTGATGGAAATGAGCACAACTGGAGGACTTTGATTCGAGGCAATTGTGAAAGAAGTTGCTCCACGCAATGTATTAGCGAGAGCGGTGCACTGTATGTGACGACCAAAGCAGCTTTCTTCGACCTCTGAAACATGATGGATAGCCAATCAACATGGACGCAGTCGATGAATGCCCAAAGAGTCGGGCACTCGAGGGCAACTTGGCGCCATTGCCTGCAGACGTGTGTGACTATCATTGGAGTAGGAGCACCACAACGGCGCGTCGGTGTGCCCGTATTAACATAGCTCTTGAAGCTCTCCTCTTCTACGATATGTGTGAAGATGGTCGCGAGAATCTCGGATGGAAGGCAAGATATGAAGACAGCAGCATTCCTGCGAGAGCGAAGGATGCGCAAGGACTCGGCTAATGCAGCTATGTCTTCGTCTAATTGCTCAACGAAAGCGGTCCTACTCTTAGGAATAACATCGAGGGAAGCGGAACGCGTGATCATGGATAACCTGTGGGAGTAATCAGTCGAGTCAATACGAAATCCTGCGCAGAAAAATTACCTCTCGAAGAGGCTGCAATTCTAAACAGCGACTTGCGTCACCCACGTACGTAGTACCAATATTAATGCCCAGTGTTCCTGTGTTTTTCAATCGTGAAATCGACGAGCTGTAGTGTGTTCTTGGTCGATTCGTGAACGAGAAGCGAATTGAAGGGAAATGTTGGAAATAGAGTTTGCCTCAAGAAGAAACATTCATAGGCTATAGCGCGGGTACTACGGGACACACCACGGGTATTGGGGGTCACGGGTACGGTGGGTATGAGTATGCACGCCACGGTAAGTCACTACAGGTATGTTCACGGGCAGCCCTAGTCTCGACCAAGACGAATGAAGTCGTTCCTTCTCTACTAAGGTCTAACTGAGCGCTGAGCCCTAGATACCGTAGTACAACATTTCGGAGGACACAACGGCGGAGTTTTCCACACTATCTCCGTGTCTACTCCGCAGTCCTATATTTTAGGAGGGATCCACCACTTACGATTCGGAATTCACTAGTGCATGCATGTGCACTCGAATCTGGTGTGCATTTGAAACTGGACGTTGGTGTCATCATACGGCCGTGTCACTCCACTGCTTCCTAGATGGCGCGGGGCAATGACGGGGTCATTCGGGTGGTTGATTCAGGTTGAAATCGATGGTCATGCTAATAATTGACAAAAGACTAGTGTCACCCCCTTTGACACCCTTCGACATTGCGACATTACAAAGCATCTTTGAACAAAGAGACAGCCTGACTTGATTGACATATTCTTGGCTACGCTACAACACTCCTTCATGCATGCATCATGCTAATTGTTCCATGCACTAGCGAAAGCAAGCACATCAGCACTCGGACTAAGAAGGCAACGAGGACAGGTTCACTCAGGCACGTTGGAGTTGAGCAACGCTCATTAACAGGTGAAGTCAATCCCATCGCTATCCACCTTACAGCACCTTTTACAGTTACAGGGCGTAAAGGATACAATTTTGCCCGTAGCTCCACAGAAATACCCGAAATCGTCTTGGTTGTTATATCCTTTGATGCCTCTTGAGCACCCCACTCGAGCTACGAATAGCGGTAAGTACGCGGTCTGAGGTCTGCACGTAGGCTGCAAGATTACTCACAAGGGTTGTTGCAGGCTAGGCCCTTGGGGGTTACCAAGAGGTCCTCAGATGCGGTAGTTACGCCAGCCATAAATGCAGCAGACACGATCAGAGTGGTGAGTGATGCGAATTTCATGACTAAACTTGTTGGTGTTGAACTTCGAGCCAGTGCATTGGCTTTTATACACAATTGGTATAGGGGCGGCAAAAATCTACATGTGCTTGCATAACTGCATGTACGTATGGGATGCACAATTCATTGTCATTAGCGCATTGTTATAGCCTTCCTCGTCACTCACACGGTCCTAATTATACAGCCCCCCCAATCCTGTTTGCACACCTAATCCTCACAGTGAGCAAGTTCAGCAATTGGAAGTGCAGGGGCGGCGGCAGAACCACAGGACTTTCGAGCCTCACGGGAGGATATGGCCTAGTGTACGTATGGGGTGCTCAATTCATTGTCATTGGCACAAAACTAAACCTTCTCACTGGCATGATCTTCGGGTAAAAGGTAGTCTGGAACTTTGCCTGCGCAACTGGTATTACTGATACCGCAGTACCCGCAAGGCCCTTCGATCTCGCTATGTCCTAGTAGTAAAGCCAGTGGTTATTCATAATATATGAGAGCGATCCAGAAGCAACATGTTTGAAGATATTGAATCACATGATTCTTCTATCCTCGGATCTGGCCTCTTTTTCTCCAGTTGCCGATCTACGGTAGGAGCCTGGGTCTGGCCTTGGTGAACCACAATGCAGGGAGACACGCAGCGCCGAAGATAAGCTTGGCGGTGGCAACTAGCAAGGCAGTCAAGACGACTTGAATGCAATGTTTTCAACTGTACCCGGTCCCTGAAGCTAAAGGCCTAATGAGTTCCTCCGCACCTTATGACGCGTCACGTCGATATATCTTTTCAAGCAGGGATTTTCCAGTCCGAACCTGCGGTTCTCCGCGAAACTTTGAAGACTCGGATCCAGCTTCGGGTCGAGAAATTGACGGTCCCAACTCAGCACACAATTTCACGGCAACCTTTCTGGGCCCTGGCAATATGTTCACCTCGCCGCTGCTTACCGACGGACCGCCTCATCTGGCGAATTCTCATTCTCATTCTGACCATCCCAGATGTATTGAGTGAAGATGGCATTTCAAATTGTCCACACATATTTTCACCCTCGTCGGGACTGTACATCTAGGACTGCAAACCTCACCCCAAGGATCGTCAATTTTTACACGACGTTGAGCACGGTGGTCTGACTTTCTAGACCAGGTAGCTGAACTCACCATTTAATATTAGAAGCTCCAGAAGGTGGCTAAATTCACCATTTATAGGGGCAATAGATGACGCATTAGAAGCTCGCAACCAGGCATATGTTGACGATCGGCTTGGCTCGGTGCGGGAATTTGCGGGGGGAAACCCCAGTGTGCGATTGAGAGACTCTGGTGTGGGGAATTATCCTGGCCCATATCTAAATGATATATGTATGCAGTACCGGAACGTTTGATCCCGCGGATCCAATTTGCGTCGACGCCATCATCCATGTGCCCACTCCACTCGAGCTCCACTGCTCACTATCATTTTGTTCTCGGCATGCTGGGTATGCGCCGTGGAAGAACTCCATCAAATGCAAGCTGCCCTGAACTGTAGTACATAAAGTACGAGCGGAGCTTACCGAAATTGATGACGGACGTGCTCTTCCTCAGAATGAATAAACTTAGTATGTTCGTGAACACGTCCCACTAAATCAGAGAGTATGAGAACATCAGATTCTCGACAATATTGACGTTGACCCAGAATCAAGGTCTCGCTGAAGGAACACAGATCAATGGGAGTGCAACAATCATGAGAGTTGAAACATCATCAGCAAATCAGTGGTGTACTAGACAACCCTGGACAGTACTAGACGGAGTCACAGAGCCCACAGCAAGGGTTCTCTCTGTACAGCTCTGTACAAATTGCATAGATAGCCTGTACAGAATTGTGCAGATCTGCACCAAGTATATGAGAGCTCGTACAGAATGGTACAGAAGTGCTACCGAGGCCAAATAGATGAGGTAGTACAGAGTACCACAGAGCAACACAGAAGCTAAACAGATAATGGATGACTTTCTGTGGGCAAAATAATGCAGAATAGAATATCTCGGAGTCTCAAAAACATTACCAATAACAAAGATATGTTAATCTATACTAGAATAATCCCCCGTATGCTCACCCAATAGATTTAGTCCAGTTCTTGATGTGATGGACAATCTTGCAGTCCAGTACCTGCTTCTTGACAAAGATGAGGCAGACCTTTTCGATGACAATGAAAGAGCTCAGGTCCTGGCTGCTGCTATCATTGCTGGGAGTGAGGTATCACAACAAGACTGCATTGACACTTGGTGTTGGACTCTGGACATTCGGACGATGGACCGGGTGGAAGGCTAGTGACGTCAGAGTGAGACATGACGAGCGCAACCAGTCCATACAGCGAGACGACGCATTGACGTCGGCCGAAGCTGTCGAAATTAGTTTCTTTTATCTCTATGCCATTCGTCATTTACCATTACTATACTGACTTCATATAAAGTGTCGAGTTCATCGTACGGGCATCTCAGTTTCTTCTAGACACTGAGATGTAAGCTGTTTATGTTTTTCCTATTACTATACAGATTGCTAACGAAACGTAGATACATTGTTTTGTCAGGTACTTTACATTGTGCTACGCCAGTTTCTTCTAGACACTGAGATATACATTGTTTTGTCAGCTCTTACTCTGCTCCCGCTCGACTGTGATCACCACAGGTTATGAGCCCTGACATGGCTATGGAATCCGCACTGCCCAGTACCAATTCAACGTTGTTCAGCATCCCGAAGCTAGCCAAAGATGGTAGCAACTGGATCACCTACAAGGAACGAATGCTGACCGCCATTGGTGCGAGAGGATTGATGCGTTATGTTGACGGCCGAGCAGCGAAGCCTGTCCTGTTCAAAATC